CGAAGTATATATATACAGCTACTCAAATGTGGGAGCTACTAATGTTCTACACATGTGTCATGTGTCCGAAGGCCACTGTCTTTACACTTATAAAACACATGCAGCAAGCGAAAAACTCACGTCAGATGCACCGTAGAGTGGAACATTCTTCCACTCGGCCACCATCATTCTATCTCCGTAAAAGTAATCATCCCCGGTATGGGACCGTATGAAGTTTTTGATGTCGTTAAACTGAGAGTAATAGTTATAAGACTGCAAGAAATCGGTGTAGAGTACGGAGCCAGTGCGGGCAGTGTTAATGTGGTCCGCGAAAGGAGCCACAATCACGTCTGTATCAGCGACAGGGAAGTCGGGAAGAGTGTCGTACCGAGGAGTGTCTTCCATGGAAATGTAACCATTTGTTGATACCTGTGCACCATGTGTTGTAGGAATGGCAATAAACCCAATGGTAAAAGTGTACGTGAGAGGCATGGCTGCAAAAGAGTATGCCTCCATCTCTGTGAACATTACTTCAGAATTGGCTATATATCTCACCTCTCTCCCAACACACAAGTTTTGAGTAAGGCTAATAGACTGAGGGAAAATACTGAAACCAAAACAAGACTGGAACCAGATACTGCATCCCTATATGGAATTTATGATGCTAAACTGAAGCCTACCAATACTCACATAAATGTCGTACACATTGAAATCGCCCATTTTGAAACCATCGGTGAGATGCAGATGGCCATAGTAGTTGACTGGGACGGTGTTCACATGACTGGAAGATATTTGGGAGAGATCAACAAACCCAAGCGCACCTGCATAAGGGTAATTTCCAAGGGTCATAAAATAATGCATGTACAAATGACCTACACACAGTATATAGTAAGAGTGAAGCCCCACTACCTCTTCAGAAAGGACACACTACTAGACTTGTAAGGAATCTGGCTATCAAGCTTGAGAGAGGAATCCAGATATGCCGGAAATACCCACACGCTAGGGGGAATTACTGGACCTCGTGTTGTTGTGACTCGGTATGCTATGAGGCAGGTAGCTATAGCTAAGAACTTGCCTCACCGGGAAAAACATCTTTTATTGCGTGTCATTAAAATATACGGCCCACTCCGTTCACATTGGCGCCTAGACTTTAGTAGAGAACTGAAAAGCATTCGCCTGAAAATTCTATGGTCGTTGTCGGGCCCGTGTGCCTCGCTATTCCCTCGTTTTTTCATAGTAAAAGGGCACTCAACTCACCGCCATTGTCGACTGCCGCTGTGTAGCAAGCAAAGCAGACTATTAATCCTAGAACGATGGTTGCTGTCGAATAGCTGCAGACCATCTTTGCCGGGCGACTTCTCACACACTGCTGAGCTGAGATAATGAGCGAGCATGCGCACTCGCACGAGACCAAACGCATGCGCAGTGTATATAAGACTCTCCACTGGATGGATCATCATGCATGAACTTAGATGGCCGGCTTAACATAGTCAAGGTATTCAAGAACATAATTATGTTGGCTATTGTAGTAGCCTGAGAGCAAACGGGTTACTTTTTGTGCAAAATTAACAGTTTTGTGATCATGGACATGGGAATAAAGTCGAAATGATAGTGCAGTTGATTTGATGAAACATTTTAAGTTTTTTTCTTTTTCTCATTGAAGAACTGTGAGGAAAAGGTGGTATATAGAAGTCAATGTACAGCTGGAGCCAGGGGCAGCTCACCTTCCTCAGAGAGGAGAAAGCAGGTCCAAACGACTCGCACACCACCAGTTGCGATGATATCCACTGGGGCAGTTTGCTGCGGACACTGGGCCGGGAGTATCGCTGGTCGGCCAGGACTATACAGGCGTAGTCACGGGCATGTCGTATGGAGCGACCGATGGACTGGTTTACAGCCTTCATACAGAGGTTCTCGTAGTGGATCTGGCCCGGCAGCTTTCCATCTGGGTCTCTTGGCTGGGGGATGGGGTGAAGTGGAGAACACTATAGGATACCCCACTATATCTGTGCCGGCGCTTGTGTGCTCACTACATTTCTGAATGGAGTTGTTAGCATTGGCTTTGCCTTGTGACCTCATGTTTTTTTTCACTGACACTTATCTTAGTGGCAGATGAAGGGAATTGTCGTGACAATGACTGATTGGTAACACACTGTTTGGTGTGCATGATTGATGGGTTAATGGTAGCTATGCTTAGCACATAATTTAGCGCACAAATCCCGCCACATATGAAGTTAGACGTAAGCAATTTCAATAGAGGGGGACGTCTCACCAGAGTGGAGTTGAGGTACCGCATCTTCTCAGCCAGCTCTGGGGACTTGATATTAGGGTATGGTAGACCCACCATCACCACACACCTATATACACACACAGAGAGAGCATTATTCATAGCTATAAATGTGTGGCACCATATACAAGCCTTGTGCATGACTACGCATACAGTAATAAGCAGAGTGTACACATCGAGGATGGATGCTACATTATGTGGAGTACGGATGCTAGTGACCTTCCCATGTCGTCAGAGAAGTTGATGCCCTCACTGAGTTTCCCTCCCACCACACTCAGCAGCAGAGCTCCACTCAGGCCTCCTACACCTCCTCCTCCTCCTCCTCCATTGAACTGCAGGTAACACATTAATAATTAGTGGGACACTTTTGATGTGTAGCACGTCAGCAAATGTTTGTGTGCCTATATCAGTGGTCACTGCTATCCACAACATGCCTTTCAGATTCTCACATTACAGCTCTTACCCCTCAGCCTTTGCTACTCCGGAACTCTTAGTCAGCACCGAAGTAAAATTCCCTACACTACGCTATACAGTTAGCTATGTGTATATTATGTACCTCAATACATCTGGAGTACTGGGTGAGAATGGTCTCGACCTGCGATGCCATCTTTGGCTCTCTGAACACCTTCACAGCACAGCAAACATTCACACACTGATTTGTGGCGCCACAAGAGACATCACCTTTTTCTTGGAGTTGATCTTGTCCAGGCAGCCAGTGGTAGTCCAGTGGGTATAGATCCTCTTCTCATACTCATAAGAAGGAAAGAAACAGACCACACCCCCTGGAACCACATTACACAGGTTGAGGATAGCTCGGCCCAACTCATCCATCTGACAGGAAATGGAAGAATGGGAGTTGTGGAGCTTGCAAGGAAATATGGGAAGAATTTTTAATCTGCACGATGGCATGGGGTGCACTATACCACATCACGTGCAGTACTTTCACTATACCACATCACCTTCTACTTTGTACGCTTACTCTCTAAACTGTGTTGTAGTTTAGTTCAATGGATGATAGTTCTAGTTGTAGAATAGCTTACTATTTCTGGGTTTGTGGAAATAAGTGCAACCCAACTACAAAAACATCAAGAAAAGCTTGAACATAGCTAAGAATTGCCCAGAGAAACATATTGGCTGGCTATTCATACCAGTGCAGTGGTGTCCCTGGTCTGGTAGGTAAAGTCAAAGGTGACACCAGATGGACCTCTGGAGAGAGCCACGGGGAGCAGGTGGTCTGCAGGGATCACATGACCTGTACCAGAGATCACATGACTGTCACATGACTCAGTGCACTATACTGACCACAGGAGAACTCGATGACTCTGCTGGGACTCACTCCAACTGAATAGAGCAGTTGATCTTTGAACTCTGAGACCTAACATACAATACAGTACAGTAGTATTGTATGTACACTCTTAAATCACTTTTCTAGTATTTGTAACCGCCCATTGGCACACAACCTTCCTATAAAGGACAAAATGCCTGGTCCATTTCTTTGGAGGTTCCACTGTAAAACTAGGTTTCACAAATTCAAGTGCATAAAACCTGTTAATATATATGCCTCCCTTTTTACAAAGCTAGCAACTATGTTTTGGGACTCTTGGGACAAATGATGGCAAATCACTCAAAGCCAGAGGAGAGACGAGGGATGGTTGTCTCACAGGCTGCATGGTTCCTCCAGTCACCACCACTGCCCGACACTCGTGGAGGATGGGGGAGAAATGGACAGCTGGATTCAGGAGCAAGAACTTCAGTCTAGAGAGAGTCACTGTAGCTGTGGGGGAGAGGAGAACAGGAGTCAGTCAATATATTATCTGCATGGCATGGGGGTGACCTACTATCAATCTTTCAGGGTTTTCCACTCTACCAAATAGACCGAAAGTTTTCAATTGGGTTCTTTGTTGGTTATGAGCCGTGCATATGATTTCGTGGATGGAGAAATTTATACTGTGGTAACAATAGTTTTTTTTTCTGAGAAGACCTTGTTTTCACAAATCTACAAAAGTTTATTGCAACTTTACAGTAAATGACTCGGCTGTATATACCTGACTTGGTAACTACAATCCTGCCGTCCTTATCGGCAGATGTGAGAGCCGAAAGAAATGACTCAATAATCATCAGGGGCGACCTCATCTGTTTATCGTCTCCACTAGCTACGCCCACACCCTGGCCCCGCCCACTTCCATCCGCTTGGCCCTGCCCAACTTGTGCTGCTGAGGAGAGTAAGATTGAAAAGGAGAAACAACTGGCAGGCAAAAAATGTTTTAGTGAGCAGGAGCAAGCCTACAAATCTGTCAACAGAAAGCACAAGAAGGTTTTGTCTTTACTGATTGCATGCTCAGAGGACTCATCAAGTTTGACGACATACTGATGTACCAATCTACTGACGTATACCACGAAACAACGGTTAAGTCCAGAGTGAAGATACTAAACTGCATGAACATGCATTACAATGTGTGCTCAGTATACGTATTTGTTAATTATGGACGTATTATGTATGCATATACATACAGGGACTTACAGTCTGGCAAGAGATGGTGGTCAAAGAAACGGTCCACAAATCCATTCAACTGAGCATCAGAGACAATTACCATTAGATGTGTATCTAGACTAGTAAAACTCAGCACATCACCTTCTTTGATATCTCACTCCGCTTGCAGTACCTTAGAACCTGTATTGAACACAACACATCTGGAGTGGGGAATGCCTTGTGCACATGCTTGAGGAACAAACCAACCATGACTATAGCTGGGAGCGTGGAATATACTTGATGCGTGTAGTATGGTGCTATGAAAGGACTCACTTTAAACAGGTTGATGTTGTCCAGGCCAGAGGTGAAGAGGAAATCGTTCAATCGGAGCAACTTTACATCAGCTGGTGATAAAACAGCTACAGTTGAGGTATTATACACCTTCAGGGTCTACCTACGTAACTCACCATCTGGGGTGGAAGTCTTGTTTACCTTCCCAGACTTATTGCTATCTATAAGCGGCAAAAAGACGCACTTAATAGAAAGCACTAAAGTGCAAATCCTCCGCGCACTAGAAATGTCAAACCTATACACATGTGCAGTACCGCTAAATGATAGGCTTGGCTATGCGTTGTCCATTTACTCTCTTGCTAGTTTAGTACTTTAACCTTCGCTGCGTATGTATATGCACCGAGGGTTAGTGGAAGCACTTGAAAGTGGATAATCTTCATCACTGTTGTCAAATGTCAAAATTATGCACAACTCGACATGTAGAGTGGCAGTTTTGTGGTGCTAGTTTTTCTGAAAAGCAGAATGGACATGGGGCAATCTGTGTACCAAAAATAATAATGGCAATCCGAAAGAAAAAGTTGTTGAGAGGGAAAAAACTACTGGTAGAGAGTTGTTGAGAGGCTTTTTACATAATAAAAAAAACTACTGGCCTGCATTAAAAAAAGAAAACTATATGTTTTGCACCATTTTATCTTATCCATCCATGGATTGTTTAAGGAAAAATCATAAAATCTAAGGTTGAAAAAAATGGTAATGGAAATCCGAAAGAGTTACATTGAGAGACTCTTACATGTGCAAAAAAACCAAAAAAACTGCCACCTTCTAAACTTACCCATGAACAAAACAATAAATTCTAAGGTTGAAAAAATAAAAACATAATGGGCCAGCCCTCCATCTCTCCAGGCAGACGTCTACAGACGCAGTGCTATGCCGAACTATACGCTGCCCTTTGAGAAACATGGGTCAGTGGTAGATTCATGGGTAAGGGGAGGAACCAGAGCTGTTCCCAGCCAATGCTCTGGACCACCTGTCAGTTTCGGTGCGGGTCCGGGATTCGAACCGGGCACCTTATGTGACAGTCCCCACGTCTCTAACCACTTAGCCACTTGGGCTGGCCACGAGAGCTGATGAAAAAACGTTCCTTTTATATCAACACTCACATTACATCATTATTAAAAAAACCACCACGAGACCCGGGATCGAACCGTGGACCTCAGGATCAAGTGTGTGAGTCCTTAACCATCAGACCACACCCAATATTTGAGTGGGTAGGGTTCAATACAGTATATATACATGTAATAGCTTATGCCAGACTTTTGCCACTAAAGTGCAAACCCTTTGGTGTACTAGAAATGTGAGCATGGTACTGCTAATTGATGGGCTGGGGTAATTACTATATGGTCTCTTGCCAGCTAGCTTGCTGAGAGTCTGTCACAGGCTTAGCTCTACACTACTAGATAACATGCGGGAGTCGATACTCGCCCAGCCAGATACCGCATCCAACTAAGGCTGTATTTCAGCATTAAATATAGTCGTTCCTACGATTGTAAAATTTCGTGACTCTGCATAAAAGTAGCTCTATCTCTGAAAAGGAAACAGCTTATGGCCACCAAATCAGAATATTATGTGGACGGAGCTACCGATTTTATGCCAGGTTATACCAGTTTTTGCGTGTGGGATTGTCTCATATACACGTACATGTACATGGTCTAGCATAATATACCTGATACAGCTCTCATAGACAGTTGAGAATGTCTAGTATGTGGTTTACATACATCAAATTCTTGGCCTTAAGTCGTGACCTGAACACAGAAAATGAGAGCACAGAATAAGGTCTGTATAATATATATAGCCTCAATATCGCTCACTTGTATCTGAGTTTGTATTGAGATAACTGCGATAGAGCCTTGTCACCTGTATATAAAGCCACACACGTCATCAGCATGTATAGAGTGTATAAGCAGCATACAAGTGTATAATTATACAATGTATATGTCACCTATTAAAGTCACACACGGCAACCAGCATGCATATACAGAAGTGTATAAGCAGCATACAAGTGTATATACAATGTATATGTAAAAAAAGTCACACACGGCAACCAGCATGCATATACAGAAGTGTATAAGCAGCATACAAGTGTATAATTATACAATGTATATGTCACCTATTAAAGTCACACACGGCAACCAGCATGCATATACAGAAGTGTATAAGCAGCATACAAGTGTATATACAATGTATATGTAAAAAAAGTCACACACGGCAACCAGCATGCATATACAGAAGTGTATAAGTAGCATACAAGTGTGTATGTTGTCACCTATAAAATTAAAAAAAAGTCACATACGGCAACCAGCATGCATGGAAGTGTATGCATAGTCTGAGGTCTACATGTGCGCCGGAGATCTCGACAGAATGGACAGAGTTAATGACGTCCAGGAGATTGTGAGCCTCATCAATAATGACTATGTTTCCCTTCAGCCTCAGTCCCAGGGCCTCTCTGGTGCCTGCATGTAGGAGGGTGTTGTAGGGCAGAACCACCACTTGGCATAGAAGGTGGGGAGGGAGGGGAGGAGGGGGAGATGGAGAATGACATGAAAACATACGACACGAAAAACATGTTGTATGAATTCAATCATACACATGAAATTTCTTAACACTGTATCCGCGTAGAGCATTATATAATATTGCATCGGCCTTTTATGTCGCATTTTATCTCTCTAAACACAGCACTTTTTAGGATAGCAAAGAGTGCGTGTGCGATGTCGTGGGGTATGTACCTGAGCAGATGGGATTGTGTGTCTGACGCCATAGTATGGACAGGCTCCGAGTTGTCTACCGAGTCCAACAGCTGCTCTATATCCTGCACCTCTGCCTGCCGGAAAGAGAGAAAGAAAGAAACACACATCAAGCAAAAGAGCATAGTATGCTCGCACAGTATAAGGAAAACTTTGCACTTGAGAATGCCACATTCAAAATTTAGCTGCTATGCTACGTAGCAACTACCAAAATCATGTTTCACTGATATATGTCTGGGGCAAGTCTAAAGTCAGCCAATAGTAAGTTAGGACAATCAGAAACAACAATACAGTATATTAATGGTGACACACTAGCTACGTTGTACCTACCAGAGCCAGATCCCTGAAGTTCTCGAGAGTGCCTTGCTTCAGGAATGGACAGGTGGTGTGGTATTAGACCTTCTCTTCTCCTCTTCTTCCCTCGGTCCTTCCATCAGATTAGTACTTCTCCTCCCTACCTATATACACACATACAGCACTGCTGACTGCTTTCGTGACTTGGCACATCCAGCATTGCGTCAGGGTTTTAAAAACGTGTGGTGAATGTGAGGACATCCCTTTCCTAAAAACACTAAATGAAGCTGGGATATACATACGTACATTATTTTGTAAGTACATTAGTTGGAGTATTCAGGAGAGGGCTGAATCTTTTCTGAGGAGAGGGTAGGCAACGCTATGAGTGTGTTGTATAGGCTATGGTTTGTGTGTGGCCATACACTTCTTCTTGTTCCTCTGCATCTCGTGGGCAGCGGTCGTTGATGAGGGTGAGGTGTCTTAGTCTCTTCACGTCCTCAATTGATACACAGTTCTGAAAACAACACAGCAGAAAGTAAGTAGTAGTCAGCAGTTGAATTGCCACAACAACAGTGGCTGAGTGCCCTTGAATAGATGTATTGCAGTACTTTAACTCCAGTGCGATCGTAGGGGTATAGCTGATCCTACTTGCGTGGTGAGAGTGCAGTCCCAGAAACATTGGGCTCAATGAAAAAAGGACTCTGTCAGTTTTTTTTACGATCATTTTTATAGCTACTAGACAGCCCTTAGTGGTGACACCTTATGTGACAAACTTTAAAAAAATGGTCACCCCCTCCAGCAAGGGATCGTAAGAGTTTGTCAAACAGTGTGACAGTGTCTGTCCTGTCAACTATGCCACTGTGTCCATACATACTACAAGACCATACGCTACTACAGCCGTTCTATCCATCTCACCTGCCTGGATCCAAGAGTGACGACTTGAATTGTGTCTCCATACGGGCTCTTCTGGATCTCCTTGACAAACTGTGCCAGCTGTGAGTGCGTCCTACTGCAGTAGTAGATCTTAGTCCCCCAGCCAAAGAGAGGAGGGGAGAGATACATACACAGCAAGGGAGGATGGGGTTAGGAATAGGACAGGGAGAAACAGAATTAAAGAGCAACAATCTCTAGTCATGGCTTGTGTTACCTTTCTAACATACTCCTCTTTAACTTCTTCTTCAGTGTCTGATCTGCATATTTACTGCAATAAACTGGCTCAAACGGATGAAAAATCACTAACTCTTTCTCTGGTGCTCCCTCGTCTTCACTGTGGTATTCCTGCACCAGAACCTCCTCCTCTCCTGATCAGGTCATCACCACCCTTCTCCCTGCTCTCTCCATCTCCTCCACACCACCGTCCTCCTGCCATATAGCCACAGAGATCACACCATACTGTACATCTACTGTGTCAGAACAGAACTGAGTACAATACACATACGTACTTTGCTCTTGGTTTTCCATTTGCTCGATACAATGTGTTTCTGTTCTTGTCTCAGTTTTCTTCAGTTTCTCTCTCTGTCTGACCTTTCGCTCCATCTCCTCCTACATATTACACACAGAGTAGCACACTCCAGAACAGGCATAGAGTTCTATATGTATGTAGAGCTCATAATATTATCACAAGACCTTGAGTCTGTGTTGTGCTTCCTTCTGCAGTCCTCTGGCTATCATAGTCTCTGCAGCCAGTCGGGCACTGTCATACACACACACACACACACCCACACACACTGATGCTCTCTTAATTGGGTTAAAACGTAATGTTAAACTGACTCTGAGAGAATGTGATCATTCTTGCTTTACTTTGGCAATCACTGAGCACGCATAAACTAACCAGCACAAATAGACGCACACATGGTAATTTTTAACACAACATACTCACCATCATCTCCATCTTCATTTGCTTGACTGCGGCACCAGAGCCAGCGGTGCCACCAGAGAGAGTTCTCTCCACTGCCTCTCTGTCCTCTGCTCACTGTCCACCAGCACACCGCAGGCCCCACAGATCACACTTAGCGACTTTCCCTGTAACACATCCACAAACCAGAAGTCTACAACCACTCTGCACTACAGAGCCACGTTGTAAGCTCTAGCTTTCCTGGCCCGTCAGATTTCTCAGGGTTCCATCCTACCTTGCACACATCGTTCAAGCGAGGTCAGTGTTTGCGTACTTCACATATATTTCACATAGTATTTGTAGATTAATACCTGAGACTAATGGTGGTGTGTGTGTGTGTGTGTGGCACACTCCTAGCATGAGGACTGGCTCAAGGACGGCCCAGGGGTCGTCTGGCAACCCCTACTATATCGTGTAGTATTATTTTTACGCTACTTACCGTTCCAGTAGACTCTCAAATACCGATGCCTCCTTCTCCAGCGTGTCATACAGAGCACGCATGAACTGCTCCTGGATGCCGTACGGCTCGAAGGGGAAAGAAAAACTGTCCGAGCTTGGAGGAGCTGGTCGTCGTCCGCGGACTGTTTTTGCCGCCCGCGCATGCGCGCAACACATTCTCGCGTGCAAAAAACACGTATTACTGAGTTGTGCTACATAGCTGACCCAAGCATTCAATCAGGCTTAGTAAAATGTATAAAATGAACGAGCAAGGTCTCAGACATGAGAATAAAATGAAAGAGCAAGGTCTCAGACATGAGAGATTTGTGACTTATACACGTGACAGAGTTTTGTGGTGCACAGTTGACTTTGGATACAGGAGACAGTGGTACGATAAAACCTGGAGAATAAACTTTGTCCACAGTTTCTATAGCATCGTAGCTACTTACCTAGTTGGGTCTTCTGCATTGGAGAAAGCAGATCGTGGTATTTTGACCCTGTTGCTAGCATGTAGTTTACTTGAAATGGTGATCTAAAAAAGAAGTTGGGGATGACCAAAGAACCAATACGAGATGACACGAGCTGACCATGTTTTTGAGTTGAGTGATGTTGAAATGGGTGAAGTCTTCTCCCTGACTGAGCATGGATGGTACCTCTGTCAGATTAACCCCCAAAACCCCTCCTGTAATATACACAATTCAAACACACATCTTGAGCATTATCAATTAGTCATGAACAATAAATGTAAACTGAACAGCTCACACTTTCACATGAAAAAAACAAGGAGAATTGGCGAGTGGGGTGGGGCTTCTAAGGGCTTCATGTATAAATAGGAACAAACATACTCCCAATACAATTGTCAGCTCACCAATGACTGATCCAACAGTATAGTCATCAGTTAGACCTATTTTCCGACATGTGACAGGGAACAACTGTCCTCGAAAGTACTTTTTCACTTTCTTCATGAGACCGGAGCTGACACAGTACGAAGCACCTGTCGCATAAAAGTAGCGAGTTCTCTTTGCCTCGGGGAAAAATTTGAACCATCCAATTCTTTTTGGTTTCTTTCCATGCTTAGTTAGCCAGTGGCCGACATAGTAGTCTGCAGAGGAATCGTATTTCTTTAGTTCTTTGAAGAGATTGACAACATTCAAGTATTCATCGTCATCAAATGAACAGAACCACCTAGGAAGATGTATATATATATTTGTACTGTGAACCATAACGTTGGTGCTAAACCTGAACACTTTCCACTCTCCAAGGCTTGTAGAACTGTTCGTATTCAAGGCCTGACTTGCAGCAGAGTGACTCACTAGTAAGAACACATTCAACAATGCATTTGCTATGTAAGAAACAACACACATCTACTGTCGACATTAACATATTATAGCAAGACTATACGCACTAGTTATATACTACACAGACAGAAGACACACATGTATCTACTTTATATGTAGCAATGTGAGAAACCCAAGTAGGTTTGATTCAGTGTATAACCTTGAACCACTCCCATACCTGGTATGTCCTTTAGGACGCGAGCTTTAATAACATGATGCCTGCAGCATAAACACGATAATGATGGTGTAAAGGATGTATCTGCAGCACGCTGGTAAAGATACCTGTCAACTTGGCCTCTCTGATCCACGGATCATTCGCCTTCCTATCGAGTCACTAGGTAAAGCTGCACACAGACAATCCAGCTATCAAAGTCGTCCCCATATCGTGACCCCAAAGAGTGTAGCTACCTGCTCTGGAGGAAGGGTCTTCATCCACGTGAAGAGTAGCAGAGAGAGACGGTGCTGGTGGTAGCGCGTGGTCGTCTTCACGGAGACCAAGATCCCTGGGTCGCTGTCTGCCTCAGCCACCTCCACGCGTTGGCTCAGCTCGGGCTTCAGGATGTGCGTGAGAATGGAGCCCAAGATTTTGTCCCGTCCGGGGACGTTCTCAAGACCACGGGCGTAGCTCCGCGGATCCTCCGGTCCTAGCAGCTCGTCCGACGGTCTTGTATACAGGTACAGCACAAGGAGGAGAGTGAGGAGCCCGGTGATGCCGAACAACAAGAGGACTCTCCACCTCAGCTTCATCTCCGATCCGGCGGCCCATAGCTAGCCACACCTCTTTCCTCCTTCCAGACTGCGCATGTGCAAGTACACGTGTCCGGACAGCCCTGCATAATATATAGCATGCTGACTCCCTGTTTCGACGTGACCCAGGATGATGCGTTCATCATCATTACCATGCGTGTTCCTTTTGCAAAGGTGAGCGACACTAGTCGCCATGAAAAACAAAAGGTTGTTGCGTTCAGGCCGCAGAGGCGGAGTTCTGTATTGATGGGACCTTCTTCAAGTTCTATTGCAAGCCCTACTTCTTGAGGTCCGGGAGAAACTATTAATTGTAGCGATTATTACTTCTCTGCTGCTACCTTAGACTCTGTTTACCCGGAGAGCTAGTGGACGATGGGCGCGCGAGAGAGCAGTACACGACATGTGAAAGGTGTGTTTCGTCCCACTAACTTCAACTGTGACAAACCTGATACTGTAGCACATACCAGTCTTAGGTGCTAAGCTGCATGTTGGTGTCCACTTTGAAAACCTGGGCATGATCACATCACTTCTCTCCAGAAACAACCAACTTCTAAAACGGCCGCAGAACCCACTCATGAGGTCTTACCAGGTATTGCAAGGTAACTAGGAAGCATGTCATTTGAACAGATATCATATAAGGTGCTGGAGCTACAGAAGAAGAAGTGGAGGAGGAGGAGTTTGATTGGCAGATTGATCAGGAAATGCCGGTGGAAGATAAGCCAGTAGGTTTTTCGTGTGGTGCCTCTATGAATGCGTGGTACAATTTTTTTACCAAGGAACTACTTTTGGGGAAGCGCTCATCAGCTTATGGGTTTTGCTGAGCAACACACTGCAGTGTTAGCAAGCTCCAGGTACGATTAGCCTAGCAGTTGGAGAATGGAAGGAGTTTGCAGTTGTGTATCCACTGTAGCAAGAGCTGCCTGCACTAGTGGATTGCCCTGACCCTGATGGCATGACAGGTCACGAGAGAAGAGTGGCCCGACTGGCCCATGAGGAGGCCAGTTTCAACCCTCAACACTACCTGTGAGAACAACCTTTTACTCTTATTTTGTGTATAAATATAGCCAGGGTTGCACCGAAGTTCATTGAGCACTGTCTTTTGTATTATTGTTCAATTCCACAGTGCTGATCTAATGGATGGTGCAGAGATGATGGAAGCCCTGTGCCAGTTCCAGCCTCCTTGGTCCCAGCAACTAGTGGCTTGGACAGACAAGAAGAAGAGGTCTGAGGGAACTACCACTACAGCTAAAGGGTATGTTAGCTCCTAGTGTCGATACTTGTATTGGGTTTGAATCTGCAGGAAAGGCCAAAGAGAACCTGACCAGGATATTAGTAAGAGGGACCTTTAAACGAGATAAGTGTTTGACACCACATTTTTGTCTTTTCTAGTTCCATTTACTGACGAAGAAAGGGTGCAACTGAAAGAGCTACCTAACAAAGAGTGTATCCACGCTACTGTATCCATGTTTGTATAAGGAACCCTTGACATTGATGTCGGATGGCCTTGACTGTGATAACTACACAGATCTCCTGGACAAGGCAACACGGAGAACCCTGTACTTGGGCCTAGTGGATGTAATATTTGCCTATGCCTATGACTATCGCATCACAGAGGGTGAACACAATGTCAGTCAATCCACTCACACTTAGTGTGCATGTATTAGAATTGGTCTTACTAGGTTGAATCGGCATGGAACATCTGCAAGCTCAGCTCTACTCTTTCCTGGCTAGAGGTAAACCTTATGCTACAGAGGTTGTTGGCTCTGTTGCACCACTTATGTTTTTTTTGTCTCTGCAGGCGTTCAGAGGGCGTGTGGAGGAAGTAATATACTGCAGTGCCAGGAGATGTCTTTGCTACCCTCTCTACAGACACTGGCAGTTGGTGCAGTGTGTCCTACATGATACTACACAACTCTTTCTACTGGGTAATCTACACTGATGTGTAGCTCTTTCTGTGTATCACAAATACGGTGGTACAGTATATAGGGATGGACAAGTTATATATACCTAGGTCCTCCTTTTTATAACTTGGTAGGGAATATATACTTGCATGTTATATCCTGTACAATACCCACAGAGAACTGTTATGATAAGTCTCTCATTATTGAGTAGGACGGAGGAAGTTGCTGCAGTGTCTGCTGGACATTAGGAGAATTCTCAACTCCTCCGAACCATACTATGTAATGAACAACCTCTACATCACTGACTACTGCGTCTGGATCCAGAGAGCCAGCTCAAGACACATCCAGAACCTGGCACTTGAATTGAAGCAGGTAAAGTAAACTTGTCACCGTACCAATTTTCAACACGTTCTGTTTATTGTTGTTTTCATGCTTGTGTGTGTTTTCAGGTGAAGATGGAGAAGAGTAGCATGGGTTGGGAGCTGGCAGAGTTGGAGCAGGCAGCTCGTCTGGTGGCAGCAGAGAGAGACGACGAGGCCTCCACCTGTGAGTCAGGTGACTCCGCCAGTGACGAGGGAGAGACTGAATCTAGCAGTAGCGGTGAGACTGACTCCGACAGTGAAGGAGAGACTGAAAGAAACACCATGACCAAATCCACACCTGGTGCTGCAAACCCTGCTATTGAATCTACATCTGATGCTGCTCGAAATACCAGAGAGAGCTTGCCACGAGCTACAAAACACATAAAAGCCCAGAGTCTCCCCTCACTGAACTACAACACGTCAATGGTGAAAGCAGAAGGCACCAACTCGACCGTCTACAAGGAACAGCCCAAGGACCAGAACCCAGCCACAGAAGACAGAACAGCCCAGCATCTTTCCCCACTGGTACCTAACCACACCAGCTCTGCGATCAAGGCAGAAAGTCAAGGCCCTGCCTCCACCCTCTGCAAGGAACAGAACCCGGATACAGAAGACCAAACAGTCTCCCCACTGAACAACAACACCTCCACGACTGAGCACTCCAGGGACAGGGTCGTGGAGGAGCTAAGTGAAGGTCTTTGTACCTTCCTCACCATCCACCAGCCACCCAGTCCCCAATGCCCACCCACAACTTCCCTTGCAGGTCGGAATCTGATAGAGGAACTGAACTAACACATCATCACTGTTTGTGTGCGTAACAGACCATACATTATAATTTGAGAGTACTCATACAGTATAATATGTACAGTTGAGTGTTTATTATAATATACAAGTGACACCAGTGCCTTTGTGATAGAGAACTCAGCGACATGTACAAGGTTATGGCTCAGCTACTGCTGCAGTGAAAGGACACATTTGTGGTAATGGTGGCGCGTGCTATGGTCTGCTGACCTTCAGAAGGGCCAGTAGGTTCAGGCAGTTGATCACTCTCTCCCGCCAGCTCTAAGCAAAAACAAGAAACCTTTAAGCTTTCATAAACAGACAGCAGTGAAACATCTAAAAAGGGACTCTTCGAATAAAGGACACCTCTCTATATAGGGACACTTCGTTCTCTCAACCCCCAGGTGTCCTTTATAAAGAGGTTTATTGTACAGGTACAGTATGGTGGTGTGTATGTATGTATGTACCAGGTTCTTGCTCCACGGAGGCTAGTATCCCTGCAATGCCTCCTGTAGATGCCTGCTCCAGCTTCATTTGAACGTCCACTTTGGTCTGTATGGCATATATACCAACACATTCATACACGTTGGTATATGCTAGTGACCAAGACTCACATCAGTAGAGAGGTCTGGTGGTGGTGACTGTGTGGAGAGTGCTGCGGTGCCTGTACCTATACAACAGTCACAATACAAACATCCTCAGTATACAATGTGTGTATGACTCACCAGTCACTGCAGCTATAACTGGAGTTGGAGGAGTTTCCTCTCGCCCTCCTATTATAGATTCAAAGGGGATGTGGCGGTACATAGGGCTAAAGAAGGCTAGCTAATGCCACATTTTGCAAGAAACTACTATCCAGTCTGCCTACATATTACTTTTTGTACCAGTATTCTTGGCTGTTGTGCCAGTACTGTTCTTTCCCTCCTCCTCATTGCCCTCTCCCCTCCTCCCCACTACCAACACTAGGAAGTAGACGTGGAGCAGTATCGTAGTAATAGTGTCTGCTTTGGCTATAATCTACCTCTCAATAGGCTTTGATTCACTTGCAGACAACTCCACAATGATGGTCTGAGGGACAAAGTGTATGTAGGGTATACATATGACTGTATATAAAGCTGTGTGTCAATTCTACCTGATCTTCCTCTAGACCGGGAGAAGACGGCCCACTGGGGAAGAGAAACCGGATTGTGTCCTATATAGCATCTACGTAGCTATAATTGACTCACTCTTGTGGTCCATTCCACTCTCTGGCCAGTTCATCATCTCTTGTCTGTAAGATATGAGATAGACAGATGTTAAGCCATCGCAGTAAAGGTGTATATATACAGTAGAACCGTTCTCTAAAGGACACCACCAAAATTTTAACATCTCTCCCGAAAAAGGACACCTTTTCTTTCCCCAAAGGTTCTGGTATGCAATTCAACCCCAAATACATTGGACAATTCCATAGTATACTCAAACACACCACATATAGAATGTGTGGCACCATGTTTCAGCAACTAACCTTCCCCAGAGCCTCTTGTTCCTCGCTAAGAGACTTCTCAACTGCAGTAGTGAGAGCCTGTAACACTGGCAGAACCTCTGCTGCCCTCCCCTCATCACCCTCCACCTCTCCCTCGACCTCCTTAGATTGTGATGGCTGTAAGCGGCAAAACCAGCCTCTATTTTACGTTGAAACAAGATGTACTCTCTTACCTTAGGAGCAGATCCAAGCCCGGGTTCATTTTTCCTTCACATTATAGAGTACAGGATCACCATTAGTGCATGAATACAAGAGAAAAGGGCTTTCATACTACTCTATATTCATAGTGAGTGTAGACTTATATACCACTCCATGGTCTGTGCTAGTCTGAAGAAAGCCAGCTCATTGAACAACACCTCGCTGACCTCCACCAGCAGAGCCTCTCCACACTCCTTCAGCCTAGTCAATAAGGGAGCCATGACATCATTAATGATAGGGGTTCACCCACATTTGGTTGAGGTATTTCTGGAGAGCATTCTCTAAAGCAGTCTCCAACTGTTTGCAAAAGGTCTCTACACTACCAGGACCCTGGGGAGACAGAGAAGGGGACATAAGACAGAAGAGTGTCGTTAAAAAGCAAGCGAGAGGCCAATTTGCAAAGACCTGTATCTTAAGTTGAGTGAGCGTTAGTTTCATCACCAGCTGCCTGATCTCCTGCAGTAGCTCCGGACTGCAAGACTTCTCCATGTGCCCTTTCAGTAGGGGAATGACCTCCTACACACACCAACACACACATCACATGCAATGAGGCAAGGGGAGTCTAGGCCATGATGCAACTTGACAAAGTTTCATGCAACTTCAAACGTATGGGTGTGATGGGTCTACGCGCACGCAATAGAAATGCTTTCCACTTTGTTGCATGTTCTGTCATGCCGCACATGTGAGTCTGCATGTCACTCAATAAAGTTGCATCGTATGTATATCATGGCCTTTAGGTTGACTGACAGTCATGACGCCTTGATCTGTTGGTCCAGTTCCCCGGTGTTGATGTGAGGCTGTTTCTGGAGGGGACAGGGCTGACCACTGGTGGCTGCATAGTTCCCGATGACCCATACGACTCACGCAACCTGCAATTGCCTGCATGCATCAACAACGATGTCTCAAGGCAAAGGAAAACCATGATGAACACAGTTACTTCAGATCACTATTGGTATACTGCGAGCCCCACAGTTTTACTTTGCAACTGTGCCAACATTATGTAAGATGGTACTGTTTTCTGATCCGGGTATTCAATTTTACGCATGCTCTGACAATGTGGGGTGGTGTTGATGGTACTCACTGAATGATTCAAGACAGCCGTGTGCTTGATTAATTATACAGACCTTGTCCAGTCGTACTACACGTGTCTCCAGTGAGGCCTGATGCAGAGGGAGCCTGCCACGTGGCCTGGGAGGGTGGGACTGATGGCTACCCTCTTCCTCCCTCCTCCTCCTCTCTCCTCTCCCGCCTCCCTCCCTACCGGCACTAGCTCTGCCAACTCGTCGTCATCGGAGGTGACTAGACTCTCACTGTGTCTGCTCCGACCAGCTATACTCCAGTCCCTAGATTCACACAATGAGTTCGTTACTGCAACACACATTTTGGTGAGGGAACTCAAGCAGTTTGATCCTTTTCACGTAATTAGATTGATGTCTCGGGTCATAAACAGTGCAGCGTCCATCACGTATACAAGTACCCAACATTCCGATGAGTACCTACCTAGGCTCACTATGCTTGCCAATAATTTGTCATTCGTGCAGGTTACGGTATAAGAAATGCACTACACACACAAGTGAAATGGTTTACACAAACACATGGGTGGCCTCATGCTCAAATCTCAGAAAGGAGTTGCTTTTGTAGCCACAAACTACCAAACTTTTAATTTAAACGTTTTACCGCTGAAAGTTTAGATGAGTCCCTCTATAGACTTTCGTTATGGCATGTTCGTCTCTTTAAAACACAGACTGTTTCCATTTGCCAACTCACCGGAGCTGCAGTTTTCCTCCCCCGGCCTCTCCCCTGGAGGCCCTCCTCAGTGAGGTAGCGGGTCACCAGGTCCTGGAGACTGTACAGAGCTCTCTGCCTCAGGTAGTCGGAAGACAACATCTGGAGCTCCCTGAACAACTCCACCTGGTGAGGGACAAGACAGCCAATGTTCATCTGACAGTCAATGCTCCTTTCAGTGAGGTAATGATCTAGTCCAACTTCCATCACGAACTAATGTCCAGCCTGGTTTAGTTTGCATGTTCTGCTTTCTCTTTGGTAAAAATCAGTGATTATTAATTCTGCTGAGAGACAGTTGGGTTTTCCCCATACAGATCATGTGACTATGTACATACGTATATATAGTAGTCACATGACTAAACCCACAGATAGATGTACTAGCACATAATGCATTTTTGGCGACCGAAGCGAGCGGTTCGATATTCTGCACATATTTAGAATCACCAAGAACATTACGATAGTGCCTTGCCTGTTACATTTGAAATTCCGCATTAGACACTACGTAGGCTCACTTTGCTAGTCAATAATAGCCTGTTGTGGCATGGATAATGTAACATGTGTATACATGTAGGTGACTGATAGACTGACTGGCTGGTAACTGACCAAGAAGTGTGGGTCTGTTCTCGTTGTTGGCAATGAGAGTGGCCACCTCAGAGTAGATGGTGTCCGCAGAGCATCAAACACTGAGAAATCCCCAGGAGCTCTCTCTCCTTCTCCTTCCTCTCCCCTCGTCTCTCTCCTGGAATCAATAACATATTCTTGGCTACTGTATGCCCCCTAGATCATAACCTACACACGCCTGGTATGGGGAAACTAAACTAAAGAACGAATGCTTTTTGGCGAGCGAACACAAGCTATCTATAGAGCAAGACATCTACTTGATATGGCAGCATGCATATTTCAGTGCCATCCGACAAACATAAAATGAGACGATCGTATTGCTTCACTCTTTGTTAACTTTCCTGTAAGCAATATACACACATGCTTTCCGTGTGAATGCAAAAATACTTGCAAATACTAAATGTCGAATCCTTGTGACATGTACATTCATGTAGAGTAGACTAACTTGCTGGCATCATCAGGCAGACTGAGTGGCAGGGAAGACAGTGACTCGTCATCCTGTGCCAGTGAACCAGTGACTTTCTTCCTCTCTCCTCCATCCCCCTCTCTCCCTCCACCCTGGCGAGATCTCTCAACACCACCCCATGATCGAGGAACAGACTGCAGTGGCGGGGGTTGCTGGCAGAGCCTGCGAGGGTGTGATGGTTGCTGTGAGATGTGAGAGTGGTGAGTTTGGGGAGGGACGAGCTGGGAGCCCTGGTCTGGAGACTGAGGTGGGGACTGGTGGCAGTAGAATCCCACTGGAGGACTGTGGCAGTAGACCAGAGCCTGACAAACAGCAGAATAAGTTGTAATAAAAGAGAGACTTATATGAAGCTAAAACCAGTTCAACGCCACTGAACTTAAGGCTAAGCACCAGTTGTATGCCGTATCATACATAGTAGTAAACTGTTGCTGACAACTTTCACAATTCAGTAGCAAACGTCAACAGATTTGACACATTGCTATTACAGCCCATAAAGTTTGTACGACTCTCAACCTCATAATTCATGGAATTGCCTCTTGAGGCAACTTTGCAGACATGAAATTAGATTTTTATTGGCTAAACTAAGCTGACCTGTGTTGGGTCGGCCAGGGAGGAGGTCTGGGAAGATTGGTGTCACTGGGAGCACTGGGAGGACTGGAGGGAGGCTGGACCTGCATCGAGACACCTGTCACACCAGAGGGACTGACTGGTCGCTGGTGTTGCTCTCCACCCTCTCTCGTCACCCCCCTCAGAACACCTTCATACCCTCCCCCTCCTCCTATGTGTCCCCCATTGTGGGGTGGCGGGTAGCTTGGTCCAATGCATGGTGTCCACTGGAGTTTAGACCAAAGAACGAGTCGTATGGAGTACGTCCGGGGTAAACGGGGGCTACCCCGGGGTATAGACGGAAGTTGGGGTAAGGGTTGGGGTGTGAAGGGAGGGGAGACACACTGGGACCAGTGTTGAAAGAGGTGGAGGTTTGGAGGTGGGGGAAACTCATGTTGTGTCCACCCAGGTGTGGGGTGGGTGGCACCCAGGGAGGGTAAAGATGATGATGAGGGGGCGGAAAAGGGTAGTATAGGGGAAGGGTGGGGGTGGAAGTAGGGAGGGAGGGGAGGTGGGGAGGGAAAAAACCAGCAGCCACTCCATCATCAACACTCTCTCCCTCCTCCTCCTCTCTTCTCTCTCTGGATCTCTCCTGTCGGGAGAACTGGCTGGTAGAGGTGAGGCAGATACGCTCCTGGGGGAGGTAGCATTTGAAAGAACGACGATCTGCGACGGTCACTTCGTCTTGTTTGACTGCCCGACATTGTGGGTCCAGGTTCAGTGGCCGACTGCTCAAAATCATCTCTCTCCCTCTTCTCGTTTGCAGGCTTGAAGGGTCTGCCCCTGGTGTTACTGGACTGAGGTGTGTCTGGTGGAGGGGGTGTGGTTGAGTAAAGGGAGGTTGGGGAGATGGGGGACGGGGCGTGGAACACTGGTTCCTCGCGATATCTGTCCAATTCTTCATCCTCTTGGTCATCTTCCCGCTCTCCTGCAGCTACCTCCAACTGCACCATCATACAATTAGGGTTGCTGAGCACTTTCCCATACCCCATACATATCCACACACTGAGTAAGTCATCATGCTTAAAATCGTTGTTTACTAGTGCTAGAGCTGTACATATAGCAGGGACGGCAAAGCTAACAACAGAAAATCTGATATCCTACACTGGTAGATGCAGCATACGTATAATACTAAGAACGACAAAGACAAGCGTAGCTACTTTAAGTGTCTACTAATGTTAAGCACCCATTTTCTAGGGGGAGAACTCATGCAATTCGGTAGCATAAATAATACCCCGTAAAGAATCCATGAAATGTCTCCAACTGCTAATACAATGTATATACCTTGTAATCGACGAATATAATTTTGTCTCCCACTCACTACATATACACTACACGGGATGTCATATACCTTGTAGAAGGCGGCCTGCAGTTGCTGGTACTGTTGCCCAGCTGGTCTGGTAGTGGTGGAGTCTGGCAAAGTGGTCCTGAAGCAGCCGGCCAGTGCTGGTCTCCAGCTGGCGACAGACGGAGCCCACCAGGGTCTGCTGGGACACGACGAGCTGGCTGGCCAGGGACGAGGTGGCCGCCAGCTGGTGGTGGAGAAACGAGAGGTGGGTCTCTGCCAGGGACCCCTGCCCCATCACATCTCTACCAGTCTGGAGTTGGAGAGAGTGGGGAAGGAGAGAAAGGAAAGAGACATTGTAGTTACAATTCAGAGTCAAGGGTTCAGAATACAATCACTTGTGTATGTTTCCAGTCTTCTCTTGCTCAGGCCTTCGCGTGTAACTAACAAAAGGAGGAGGCAAAACCCCCTGTTTGTGCACATTAAAGTCTCCAGAGAGGGTGAGGGGGCCCCTGCCCCCATAATTATAAGAACACTTGCTATACTGGTTGCTGTAAGATAAATAATTATACACATGAGTGAGTCCTGAGCAAAGAGTCAGACACACAACACGCTTGGTGGTGACGAGAGGCCAGAAGGCTCCAAAAAGGGCCCAGATGGGAGATGTATACTATATATACCTGAGTGGCCTCCTCTCTGGTCTGTTTTCTGGAGGAGGAGGAGGAGGGAAGATGACACCTGGCCATGCAGCACTCAGACTCCCAATGGCGGGCTTGTACTAGGCTGGGGAGGAGCCTTCACACTCCCTACTGCAACATCACATACACACATGCGTACATGAAATGAGGTTCCACAATCAGAATTCAAAATGCTGGAAAAGGCAAAACAGCAGGCACAGATATCACCCACCCAGCAGTGCAGGCCTCCATTGAACAATTGACCAAAGGGGGCAAAATGCGTATTAATTGGAGGGTAAAACCCCTTGTTTTTGAGGTTCACCTTAACCCCAAGGGGCCCCCTAAATGAACCCCTGAAATGATAACTGAACAGGTACAAACAGATTACAAGATATTAAGTAACTGCCATGTACATAGCCACAGTGCATGCTTTCTGTGGGGTGAATAACATGACATTTGGCCCGGAATAAGCCATTTTAAAGGGCTGTTAGGTTATACTATTGCACAAAGTAAGGGAGTGAACAATAACTAGTAGATATGTACACTGACCTTGAGCAGTCACAGTTGGTGCTGCAGATGAGGTGTCGTCAAGTTTCATCCTCTTGCCGGCCGAGTGGGGCGTGGTCTCAGGGGTCAGGAGTCTCCTTTGACCTCCGTGCAAGTGGTGGGGGGTGTGGCGGGTCACCCTGAACAAAACTTCTTCTCCTTCTCCCCCTCCTCTCCCTCCATCTCTTGTTCTTCTTCATCTTCTTCCACAACTACCACTGCACTTCCACCTACGAGGACATGTACAGTGGGCTTACACTCCAATGGCTCAGACTTTGGTTTGTGTGTTCCATTTAATCTATTTCACACGCATGCACTATGCTGCAACTTATGTTGAAGCAAAAAAAGTTGCCTCTTGTATGTCGGCCTTTATTGTATATACCTCAAGAATTTGCCAAAAACTAACAAACACATACATACTGTTAGGAAGGGCATACTGGCATGTTTCTATGGCTGTGTGGAGTGTTGGCTGTTGGAACACACCAAAAAGTATATCTCCAGTCCCCTCATTATGTTACACTTCCTTCCGTAAGTCTCCCTATTCCCTACCATTAGGTACTTCCCCCCTGGAGCTCAGCCATCCAATCAAATCCTGAGTGTATGTACATACCTAGTGTCCCGGTGAAGGTTTGCTCCAAATCATCTCTGGTGTCATTCAGACCAGTCCCTGAACTGACACCCTCCTCCTCCTCCTCTTCTTCACTGGACGATCCACCCCATGTGGCACCCGACATGTCCCTGAGAGAACACACAACACAACACACACACACAGTGTATGTAATAGGGAAAACACCACACTCTAGGAAGTATAAAATAAAAATTTAGAACATGAAGGTATTAGACCATGTGATGCCAAGAGAAAAAAGATGCGGAGCTCTGGACAGCTGTTTCGGGCTGGTTGCCCCTCATCAGCAGGGCATACCGCAACTTCTCTCTCTGGCATCACGAGGCTACCAGGAGCGCAGCACTTGCGGTTCTGAACTAATGAGATTCATCCCCACAAGGCTTTGCCACTGGTATGTGCTGCTGACCATGCCCAGACATTCGTGGTTTGGAGCCTAGGCCCCTCCCCACTCCTGCTGGTCAAGGCCAGCACCGAGCCAAAACCCGAACTCGCAATCTGGCATGCGGATTGGGCCACGGCAATGAAGCCAGCAAGCATCCATATCCATGTTACTGAAAACGGAAACTTTATTGCATTCTCGCAAGCCATGTACTGCAACATTCCTGTCTATAGAACACATATATATATACCAACCTTGCACTGGTCACTTCATCAACCATCTGTAATAAAAACAGATCAAGAGTGAAAATACGTACACTCACTATGCATGAACACGCATACAAAGATAACCCAAAGAAGTTGAGATGTTACGTACCGACTGGATCTGCTGCGTCTTGTCCAGCAGTTCATCATACAGTCTCCTCTGTCTGCCCAGCTCTGTGGCCAGCTCCTCAGAGGACAACACACCTTCTGCGCCTCCTACAACACACACACACACATCACACATTATACCTTAGTACCATACACAATCAAGTTACGCATGATGCACAGCTCGAGTGACGTACCACAATAAAGATGATGTACTGTATGTGCTGCAATTCAGTGACATTGAGCTGGTAGCTCATTTTTACTCACCGCTACTGGGAGCATTGACTGACTGTTCCCTATTACCAGAGGCTGTGTTATTGGTAGGTGATAGAGATGCCTGCAAAAAATTAGGCACAGACATCTTGGACATGTTTCCAAAAAAATCGTACGGGATCGATACAGTATATGCTTGTAGATTGCACACCACCTTCAAGCTCATTTCTGGCTTTCGTCCCCTAACCAGCCATGGACACATAAATGTGTCCACAGCTTCCATAAGTCCATTAGAATTTATATGGGGGTTATAATACTAGGCGCTAATACTTTATTCCTAGAAAAAACCAATGTATGTAGTGCGCCCATACATTGTCAGCAATGCTCTGGTGTAGTTGCTGCAGTTTCCTCTGAGTGGTCAGGAGTCGGTCCCTCTGTTCCTGGAGCTCCCTCACCTCCCTCCTCCGCCTCACCAGTCTCTCCTCGTACTCGGATATCACACTCGCCTCCAGCTCTCCTGTAGCCATCAACTCTGAACGAGTGCGTGCATTGCTACAGATTGAATACTGTGCAAAATAGACACTAAATATTCTCTAAGGATCTGAAATACGTAGGATCAATATTGTCAAGGTTGTAATAAGTAAGCACACAACAAGGTTGTCTGGGTGTGTCGGGAGCCTGGTACCTCCAGATTCAGTCTGTCCATCTCTCATCTTCCTCCTCCTCTTCCCCACGATGTTGCTGTTGTTGTTGTTGCTCAAACTGGCTCTCTCTAGTCAGGAGACCCTGTCTGCTGCTGCTGACCAGAGGAGGATCCTGCGTCACCTCACTTCCTTCAACATCCTACACCAATACACAGTCATTAACTAATCACCATAAACGCCGATACGAATACTTATACGAAGGTTGTCAATTCTCTATTCCGTACTTGAAACAAATCGAATGGGAGTCTGTATAGCTTAGCAGAAAAAAGAACTAGAAGGGAAATTGCTCACGGCCTTTTTATGGGCTTCTGCAAAACTGCTAGGGTTTATAGTAGTAGGGGAGGGATAAGGAAGAGAGACAGAGAGAGAGAGAGAGAGAGGAGAGAGCTAGGGGGGAGGGCTAGGGGAATGAAAGAGAGCTATAGCGTACAGGTTCTTGTAAGAGACTGATCATTTGCTGCAGTTCTGCCAGCTTTTCCCTGGCCTCCTGTGCCTGCCTGCAATAGCAACATACACGTGATAGACACACAATCTTTAGACCACACTGGTTTAGATTTCAGTAATACATACATACTATGTGTATACCTTAGTTTCTGGTGGAGCTCCAGTAGCTCAGCAGGCATTGCTTGACTCCCTGCTGCCACTAGCTCACCAGATCCAGCCCCTCCCTGTACGTGAGAAGGAAAGCTGCAACCAACTTCACTCTCCCAGTAATAATCATCACGGGTTACGACACACTAATACACACTATTATGAGCCTTAATAGGTGCCTACAGGTTTGAGAACTGGGTGGTAGGCTGTACCAACTCTCCACACACATGCACACAATAATGTACGTATATTGAGCAGTACACAAAGAATCTCTTATTACACTGACCAGAGGTTGTTGACCAGTGTTACCAGCAGCGGCGACAGCACTGTTGTATGTATATATACGATGTGATCAAAGGTTTATGGTGCAACACACACAAACACGCACCTTGAAGTCGGAACTTGTGACTCCCTCTCGTTTTCTGTAAAAAGGCAGAACTATTTACACACATATGTACGAAATTCATCAACATCACATTCATTCCCAACATCCCATTCATTAAAAGTGTATGCCAGTAGCTATAGGCAGTAGGAACTTCACTATTTTCAAGTTTGGGAACCATCAATATGAAAAATGTTGAAAGCTGACTTGGTAAAGTCACTTACACCAACTTATACCTCGTCCAGTCAGTGGTGTATACAGTAATAGGAGAGGTATATACTGTAAGAGTGTATACATCACACACCAGTGTCAGTCTGTAGTTGTGCGAGGAGGCTAGTCAGGTGCTCCACTCTAGCCCGTCTCTCTCTCAACTCCTGCAGTCTCCTCACCACAGCCGACTCGGTCGTCTGTACATGCACACATGTAGTCATGTAGTAGTAAGAAACGTTGCAGGTGCATTAAATAACATACACGTATCTAGAGAGTACAATAGTATAGTTGGAGAAATTAAAGATTTTCCTCAACCTCTCACACTACTCAGTTGTCTGTATTGCCTGACTATCAATATCTACCACACGTGAATGCAGCGCAGGTGGTCCCACTCTAAATATTTGCTCACACACACTCGTCAAAAAATGTGTGGCAATTCGTTGCGTGTGTGGGTGAGTGGTGGGTTGCAGTAACAGACCTCATCATCCATATTCTCTGTGGTGACTCTGGCCTGCCGCTTCTCTTGGCCTGCTCCATTCCTCAACACTCCTGCTTCAGACGGAGGTGCCTATGAATGAGCATGTGGGTCAAAGCAAGGCAAAGGCAAACAACTCAACTACACCCAGGACAAGTCAAGTAAACAAGAGATACCTTGGATGGGATTTGAACCCACGACACTCTGCAGTCTCTACCAACACATACTACTAACAATACAGCTACACCCATGACAATTCTTTTTTCCAAGGAAAACAAGAGCTGGCCTAAGTGACATTTGAACCCAGTCTAGGTGAGTGCTCTCTCTACTGGCTAAGCTACCAGCTGGGCAACTCAGCAGGTAGGGGTTCAAATCTACAACACACTTATGGGTGAGCACACTATCAAACAAGTGCTGAGGTGAGACCTGAGTTTTGGTTGTAGCTGGAGGGTGACCAGTGGTGTTGCCATCCAACAGTCTCCTCTGTCTTACCTCCAGCGCCTCTATCTGTAACAAACCACAGAGAGTACGCACATACTAGAATAGCAATAAAGTGCAAACCCTCGGCACTCAAATCCATATACACATTCATGGTACTGCTAATTGATAGTGATAGGCTGGGTTACGCGTGGTCCTTTCTTGCAAGTAGCTTGTGGAGAGTCCGACACGGGCTGGCTACACTAACAGATAGCTTGCGGGAGTCAATACACCACACGCCCTTTGTTGTGACTTATTGTGGTTCCAAGTTAGTAGAGCAAGTGGATCATGTTGAGATAAGCATGTGTACATTTAAGCCGCTGGTATTGTTTCTTGGCCGCCTTGGGGTTAATTAGAGCACCTGAAAGTGTGAGTGAGTCTACTTATTTCTGCCGCCAAACAACATATTCAGTGCTTCATTTAAAAATTGGAGACTCACATTAAAAACACTGCATTCAAAAGCTGTGGAGACAAGGGAAAAAGCCAACATGCACATGCATATAAAAATTACTGGCCATGCATTACAAAATACACGCAAAAAACTATACTGGGTATGCAAAAATTATATCTGAATGTTATGCACTAATTCAACTTATCAATGGTTTGTTTTAGGCAAAAAAATAAATTCTAAGGTTGAAAAAAAACAAAAACATAATGGGCCATCTCTCCAGGCAGACGTCTACGGACGCAGTGCAATGCCGAACTATACGCTGCCCTTTGAGAAACATGGGTCAGTGGTAGATTCATGGGTAAGGGGAGGAACCAGAGCTGTTCCCAGCCAATGCTCTGGACCACCTGTCAGTTTCAGTGCGGGTCCGGGATTCGAACCGGGCACCTTATGTGACAGTCCCCACGTCTCTAACCACTTAGCCACTTGGGCTGGCCACGAGAGCTGATGAAAAAACGTTCCTCTTATATCAACACTCACATTACATCATTATTAAAAAAACCACCACGAGACCCGGGATCGAACCGTGGACCTCACGATCTAGAGTGTGAGTCTTTATCCACCAGACCACACCCAATACTTGAGTGAAAAATGTTTAAAATAATGACATATTAAGGAGCAAATATCCACATACCAGGTGCAGATAAAAAAATTTATTGTATGTGCATAGCTGTATGAGACTTGTGAAGGGACTGTTTACCGACCACCACTGAAGTCACTTTAATCAGTTGGGGACTGATTGTATGCGTGTATACAGCTGCCATGTGTAAACGCACACATGGTTTGTTGTTGACCTGCTTCTGCTGCTCTACTAGTTTTGTAAGGAGGTCTCTCTGCTCTCTCAACATCCTCAGCTCCTGCTTCTCTTTCTCCTCACGCTGAGTCTCCATCCTCTCCTGGAACAACGCACCAACTCTAACATCACTCTAACAGACAACTTTGCTAGAATATTATGATAACGTCCCCATTTTGTTATGTGTGATTCAGTTTGTTTATGCCGCTGATATTCTTCTCACTGTTTTGGTACGAAATTACTGTCGCAGTGAAAAGCTTGTGCAGCTCTTCTATGGTCTATGAGTGTCCCGTGTCTAGTTAAAGGCCAGGATACATGATCCAACTTTGTTATGTGATTTACAGCGTATCAAATGTGTGGCTCGATCCTTGTTCATGTGCTAGGAAAATGATTGCATGCAGAGCTAAGGATCTATGGAGTGTCCCTTGACCCAGTGGTCAAATACTAAAGCACAAAATTAACATTACAGGATATGCTGTAAACACCTTGAGTAGCTCTGCCTTCAGACTCATACTGTCATCTCTCTTCTCTCCCCCAACCTCATCCGCTAGCTCTCCAGATACCTCTCCATCAGACAGTACCTCTCTCGAGTCTTTCGACCACACAGAGGAGGGAACAATTACTACTACTATATATAGTACTATTATAGGTTTGGTGCACATGAAACGATTGTGTATCTATGCAAATGCAGACTTCATTGAGAGAGGTTATAGACACACATAAAGACATATGTATTGGTGTACCTATGTATATACACAGATAGCTAGCACGTGCACGTACCATCAGTTTCAGCTGTTCTCTCTTGAGAAGAGTTGGCTAGTGGCCCGCCTTTCTGCTGGTCCTAGAAAGAAATGAGAACGTACATAGCTGTAACTATATACTCTACAAAAACCAGACAGTTCAACGATTTTCAGGTCCCTTATATGCAAACTACCACACATATAAAGGAACTGAAGGGTGTCGAATCAAACTGGAAGAACAATACTCCATTGCCTATGAACCGGAACATGGATATCACCCAGAGAAGGTGTGGGTTGACTCACGAGTAGTTTGACGAGGATGCTGAGGTAGCCAGACTCCTGTCTCCTCAAGTCCTCTACCAGTCTCCCCATCTTGTTCACCTGCACAGCCATCCCTGGCTGCACAACGACAGTAGCAGTTACTATACACATGAGTCCATCCCACAGTTACTCTTGGTTTGTGGATCTTCTCCAGCAATTATTGATGCCGATGCTCTTACTTCAAAAAACATTTTTGTTTACGTGATATTTACAATGCACTCTCCAGCTATTCTCAATAGACACACAGACAGAATGGCTTCAAATTTGTCATTTAAAGTACAAATGCTTTAAGCCACCTACTAAAGAGCATAACACAGCAGTGAATGCTGCATATGTATGTACCTCTGAGAGCCTTTCCTTCATCTGCTGATGCAGAGCTTGAGCCTCTTGCAAGTAGCTCTGGATATACAAATACCAATGTTCACTGCTAAGAACCACAGCTGTGATGCAGCTACACTGCCACACAAAAAACGTTTAACAATTGTTTGAATTTCTAAATCTGACTCAGTGTTAAACACGGGCTTTGCATATGTACGTACGTATATATGTACCTTGACTTGCTCCAATTTCGACATGATGGCAGTGATACTTATCTGCAAAACAATGTTCATACACGTAGCGGGAAAAAACGGATATTGATGCACACATGAAAAAAACAAACACCTTGGAAGAGCTATAGCAATGGAAAGATGTACACAAGAGAGAGACAAACTCCCCAAACAACTCGTTCATTTTCTGTATCGGACTCTTGATGGATGTCAGAGCCCCTAAAACAAGTGTATATACACGTTTCAAGGTAATTATACGACCAAAGTGCAGGGTTTATCGATACTTTAATCCGGGGGTGGGGGGGGGGTGTAGGCAAATTGTGCTGTACTTGCAGAAAATACCCTGTCATGTAATCAGAGAGGGACCCCTTATGAGTGAGACAAATTAAAGGGAATATGTCAGAACATAAGGGTTAAATTTACTAAACAAAAGGGCCCAGTGAAAAAATGCAGTATATAACAGTATCTAAATTTAGCCCTTATAATTATACTGCCACATTCCAGTCTTCACATTCCCTTTAAAGTTCTAAGGCAATCTTCAGGAAAATAGAACGGGCTGCACATGATACAGTGATTCAGTGGTTTAATCAACGGAAAAAAACTGGTATGAACCAAGGATCAAAGTAGAAAATGGCTGGTTCTCACAGTAAAAATGGACTAAACATTTTCTCCCTCAAACTTTTGACTACCTCTGCAGGAATTTTCACCCTCGGATATGTACTCTGACCCCTCTCCCTCGTCCACAGGCTCAGACTCTCGGACAGCGGCCGGTCGTCCAATGCCAAAGGTCGGAGGTGCCGATTGGGTAGAGCTCTGTAATGAGTGGGTAGATCCCTGGCCTGATTGCCTCGCACCAGTCTTTTGAGGTGTCGAGGCAGCTGAACTGTGGGACTGAACATATTGAGGCTATAGTCCTGTGACAAGCTATGGTCCACCATTGTACGTAGTAAGTACGAGCTATTATAGACCAAGGTGTCTCGTTACAGTGTCTTGTTACAGGTCATGTGACTATGGCCACTATAGAGAAACATACATATTCTGTGTAAGTCAAGTACAGTGGAACCTTGCTATTACACCCACATTCAGGGCCAGCAAAAGTGGCTCGCTTAGTGAGCTGGCTTCATTTTGAGAAACATACATGCATAAGTAATGATCGAAAACATTGGCTGATTTAGCGATCTCGGTGGCTTGGATTAGCGAGGTTCTACTGTATTACTAAGATACAGGGAATGTTTAACCTCAACAAATCACTAAATGCATCAATGGAAAACATTTCCTAGAAGCAGCAGCTGAACTATGAGACTGAACATATTGACCAAAATAAGGCTATGGTTCTGACAAGCTATATACATCCATTGCATTATGAGTGCAGGAATAGTGAATAAGGTGTCTTGTCATGCTATGTACATCTCCATTATGGTCATTATTGGCAAACACATCATACATACATAGTTTGTGTGTCATAATCTTATGCAATTCAAACTGCTCACTAGTAGAGGAAGTAAACCTCTCAGTATCATATCAGAACAAAAATGCAGCTCATCAATATTCTCCACTTTTGTCTTTCAAGACTCAATCTTCACAAAAAACCCTCCGAAATGCGCAGTCACCTTGCTATCTGCTTTAAAACCTGTATATTTTGGACCGCACTATGCAGTCTGGTATATACAGCATGCTATAGCACAGCAAGTTCAATTGTTTGCATGTTTCCTGCATAATTTTAGAATCTCTGTATAACATTACGGTAAATATATGGCAGAGTGCCCGTACATACGTAGAAAAATTCTTCATTCAGACGACTAGGAGGGCTTGCTTCCTCACCAATTATATGTACCATATCGTGTGGTCTTATTTAAGCCCTATACCCATGTCGTCCCCTTTTCTATCATCATCTGTTTTCTTTTCTTTTCTAACATAGCGTGAGATGATGTTTAATAGTGAGCCACTCACGCTGTTGTCGGAGAAAGTGAGGGGACTGTTTGAGACTCTGAATGGCTCTCTTCTGAATGGCCGGGAGTAGTCAGATACCGAGAACGACGTCTTGGAGACAGAGGCCGGACGCGTGGCGACGCCCACCTCATGACCCGCAGTCGTCATCATCAGAGTACAGCACCTCATCCTATAGCAGCAGTCATATCATCACGTAATTACAAGGGGTCATTTATGGATGGGGAGGGGTGCTGAGGGGTATAATATCTATATAAGGCGAGGCACATAGTTCTAAGGCGTAGCATCAAGTTTCCTATAATCATGTCTGTATATTGGGTGTAGGTGTGGGTGGGGGGTGGTGTGAGCACACAATGGTTCTCTTTTCACACTGTAGAACATTTCTTCCTGTGTTATTCTGCATCACTCCATGGCACACAAATTGCACTAGTTTTCCTTTTGCTCCCAAATATAGAGCTGGGGGTTTTACTTCAACTGAGAGTAAATTGTATTGAAAATCTCGTCCAATGCTATATAATAATTATGCACACTGGCGAGCTCAGCAGAAATAAAAACAGCATGTGCAGAAGAGCATAGATGATTTGCACATATCAAAATGCAGTGTCGTACATAATACTAACAAGCACAGGCATCCTAATGCTACCCATGGCACAACAGGACACAAGGAAAGACACATTACCTGTTTGGTTGGAGTGATACTTGCAGGGTTAAAGTGAGGCAGTGGTCTTCCTAGGCCACCGTTGGCCTCCTGTTCTGCCATGGACTCCACAGTACACCTCACCCTCTATACAATATACCCCTGGTATGCAAAGGAGGGGGATTTTGACTTAGAAGTTGGAGGAAACTTTTGTTGCCTTCCTCCCTCCAATGCAGTCCTACAGTCTGAATACACAGGCTACATGTATGGCAATGAAGCGTGCAGTTTCACCCACCCTACTCTATCAGTGATACTATGATTACACACCCCCTAAAACCATACTGAGCTACTAATACACACTTGCAATAATGCTTAGCTAGACCTGACTCACTCTGCTTATCCACACACCTCAGCCACACACAAAAGAAGCACCCAATAACCCAGAGTACTGGTTGCATTCAATACGGAAGAACCTGTACCATGCTGTTGGTGCGCACTATATAGAACACGCCGTTTTACTCACCAGACGGACAGAGTTTGCGTCGGTAGAAGAGGTCAAGAACGCAGGCCGCGGAGTTTCAACAAATACCTTGAATAGCGGGACCTGCAGGAATAAACAGAGCTGCTGTGCTGCAGAGACTTCACTGACTTTTGCACCGCGCGCTACACCAAGCGCCAGCTGCAAAAATGAAATTTCCCGCTGCTAATGACGTCACGGCTTTATACGATGACGTCATCAAGGCTGAGCTAGCAAAGCTCTGGCTGTGACGGCGCTGGCTGGGATCGAGAGGACGAGAGCGAACAGACCTGCCCTGTACCTCTTGATAAGTGAAGCTGCAACTCTAAATCTAGAGGAGGTGATACTAGCGTGAAACGCGACCTTGGATACGGAATACAACCTAGGTGTGTGGGTGGTTGTCTCTGTGACTATGTGACTGTGTGACTGTGTCTCAAGGTTATGTGCTATTGCTAAATTATAGTTGCATGGTTTAACTGTTGTGGTACCCTTATAAACTGTAACAGTTGGCATTGAGAATAAAATCCCCAACGTGTAGAGTGTCCATGTCTATCTTTGTTACAGCTTTTTGTATGGGTGCTTCTATACCATTGCCTGGTAGTGTGCATGAAATAGCTACTGCCAGTGAGAAAAAGTGAGCAGAGTAGCTCATCTAATTGCACTGATATTCAAATTCATGACAATGCTCACAAGTGCATCAGTGTAGTGTTTTTTGCCATACTGGGACAGAGCATGAGACTTGCATGTGTAAAAGATATGCTGGCCTTGTATGACAAAGCAACTGGGAGTTCTTAGGTGAATGACATGTTTGAACTGCTACTAGCAATTGTTTGCCCGCTGTATGAGACTTCTGCTGCTTAGTAACTTACACTACTGAGTACTGTATATGTGGTGCACTCAGCACACTTTTAGCTTCTCAGAGGCTTTCATGCACAATCAGTACAAGTCTATGAAATCACTGACCTTTTATTGATAGATTCTATGTGCTCCATATCAATTCTTAGGGCTACATACATGGTGAAACTTTGCAACTTAAGGTGTATATACAAGTACATGGAACATGTTGCGCTTGCAATAGTTTACTTTAGAACAGGTTGTGTACAGTTTTACTGAAATTTTGCACACATTCGTGTACGGTATAATCCTTATCAAAACATGTTCCCGTAACTGAACCAAAACAGCGCTTGTGTGGCTGTGAAGTTGTCGCGAACAAGTGTACACTACAGAGTCCTATTGTTCCTGTCATGTTACGGAGCCTTAGATACTGTGGCGACTGTCTTTGTCGTCGTGTGATGTACACGTCGTATGAAACTGACAAAGAGAGAGAACACTTGACGTGTTTTCCGTACATACTGTGCCGCTCTGTATTGGGAAAGACATTTTGGCTTCAATGCACGATGTTAGTATAGCATGCCAGGTTTGCCAGTTGTATCTACGACAGTGTGATGCCTGCGACCTTTATACGATTGTACAGACAACTTACACATTATGGTGCTAAATTCAGTGATTTTTTTAATATAGACGCAACCATCAAGCACAGTAGTGGAATGGATCAGGAGCAATTAAACGTGGCTCCATTAACCAGACGGTCACGACACCTGTCAAGGGCCAATGTGATGAGCGAACTCCATCGTCTCTGTCGAAACGGGGACTTGTCGGCCATCAAGAGCTACCTGAACGAGGCCATCATGTCCAACGTGATAAACCAGGTGGCCGGGGAGAACGGTTGTACGCCGCTGCACGAAGCAGCTATGGCCGGACGAGACGATGTAGTTAGACTTCTCAAGGAGGAGTGCCAGGAATCCATCGATATGGACGCCAGGTCCCAGCATGGTCCGGCGTCCACCGCACTCCACCTCGCAGCAGAGAGGGGCCACGTAGATGTCGTGGCGGCCCTAATCAACTGCGGAGCGACGGTTGGGGCCGTGGATCGACGGTGGAGAACTGCAAGGGACGTGGCCGAGGAAAACGGGAAGCGACAGGTTTTCCGAGTCATCACTCTCACTGGTAAATGAACAATAATAATAATACAGAGGTCTTTAGTAAAGGTCATAGCCATATGTGGGCGTGTCCTAACAGCTCTGTACTGAAAATGTACATTGGCACTTCCTCAGAAATGCAGAAAGCAGCAAGAGAAGGAAATCTAGATAAGCTCACAGAGGTACGTGCAGAGCTCTTTGAGTAAATAAAATACTGTTTACGTGTCCCCCGTTCTGATTTTTTTGCCAAAGCTGCAAAGGTAACACCTCAGTTATTTTGTTCCTACATACATACATGTACACCCTCTGCTCCTTCTTTGCTTATGTTCAAAGAATGTACAGTGTGTATAGTGCATGGGTGTGTGTATACATTTGCATATGTAAGTACACTGTACTAGGTTTAGGTAGTGTAAGTGTATGTTTTTATGTGTGTGTGTGTGTGTTTGTTATATTGAAAGTGACGAGGTGAAGCACTGATTACCATTTAGGGTGTATATAGCACTGATTATTGTATACACAACATTATCTTCCTTCCTGGGCAGGTCCTCTCCCAACTCACCGAGACAAGCCAACTCACCGACAGCGTCAAAACAATACAGCAGGAGACACTCAATGCCTCACTAGTTGAGGCCAGCATAACGGGTAACTATAAGATAGTCCTGCTACTGGTAGATGCGGGGGCAAACAGCTTTGCCGAGTGCATCGAGAAAGGTCCCCGGCTGAATCACATCATGGCCTACCTCCGTCTCTGCCAAGCTGCCCACGAAGACGACAGGAGGACCATCCAGCTCTTGCTCGAACACGACGAAGACGAGATCATGAACAGCTCGCTCTTTCCCGAGATTGCCAAGTACCGGCAGGTCATGATGCCTCTCCTGGACAACGGTAAGCTGTCGGTTGCTACACCCATCAGGGTTGCTCTAAAGGCCAACAACGTCCTCGCAGCTGGAAATATTCTCCTGCGATTTTCCAAGCACCCCAGCTCGGGCATCGTTGATTGGCACGGCCTGGATCTGGAATCAATTCCCGGTGCCTGGATACGAGCAATAGAGTACCCCAACCTCAACTTCATCTCCTTCTCGTTCAACAAGCTAAAGCAGATCCCGACGGAGCTAACGCAGTTCAAGAACCTGATGAAGCTCCAGGTGGAGTCGAATCAGCTCACTTTCGTCCCGTCAGAAATCCTGGAGCTTCCGTGTCTAGAGGACCTTGACCTCTCTTTCAACTCCATCTCGTCCCTCCCAGAAGCCCTCCTGGGAAAGCTCTCCCTGGTTCTGACAGACATCAATCTCTCCCACAATAAACTCTCTAGTCTCCCGGCCTACTTTGAGTCGGGGTCCATCCGCCATCTGGACATCAGCCACTGTCTCTTCTCCACAGTCCCAGAGTGTGTATGTGCCATGCCCCAGCTCCAGTCCCTCAACCTGAGCCACAATATCGAGATCAGTCACATTCCCTACGGCATCGGTGACCTGCGGTACATGCAGGCCCTAACTCTGGAAGGACTTCCCTACCTCCTAAACCTTCCGCCACGCCAGGAGTGCCAGCCGCTCAATTTCCTCCGAAAGCGCTTCGAGTCGATGCAGACAATCCCTCATTTCGAGCTGCAGATCGTGGGGTCACCCATCAGCGAAAAAGTCGTCGACCAACTCCGACTTATATTCTCCGGCTCAAAACTCCCCTGTAGCATCTTGCACTACTTGAGCTCGGTCCAGTTTTTGTACCTCCATAATGTGTTTCGCCTGGAGAACACCGCCTACCTGGTTGTGTGGGACTGCCACAATAAGCAGCACCCAAACGCCTTCTACAGAGTGTTGCGTCACCTCTCCATCGTCAATCCTAGTAGCCCAGTGGTGGTGGCTGCCTGTTGGAAGAGCAATGTCACTCCCGAGATGGAAAAAGCTGTGCAGGAGACAATTTCACAGAGTCTCTGGAAAGACCTCAGCGGCCGAGTCCACGTTCGTCATCTTTTACTGGACTCTGACGAAGAGAGCAACCCCCACTCGATTCCGCAGTTTGTTGCATTTGTAGAGCGAGTGAGCAAGAAAGTCGAGAGCACTTACTTTGTTCCTCGTAGCTACTACGAGTGCACCAAGTACCTGCCGAAGGTGGCCGAGGAGCGGCTAAACACAGAGCTGAAGCCACCCATGATGAAACAGTACGACTTCTTCAGCCTCATCTGCAGCATGCCCACAAACGACATCAGCAGTAACAAGGAGCTCCCCGAGCTGGTGAGCTTTCTGGAGAAGATCGGTATCGTTCTCAACATCCCCAGCAATCAGATGAGAAAGCAGAGTCTTTTCCTCATAGACAGGCAGTGGTTTTGCGATGTACTCAGTCACGCGGTGTCCCACACCAGCGACACTATGGGCTACAGGAACTACACTGGGATTGTGCGACAGGAGGGTCTCATTGACCTCCTGGACTGCCCCACACTCACCGAGAAAGAGGTCCCAGATGCACTCCGTGGATTTGTCAACCACCACAGCATAGCCATTGCCTTCAGCAGTACCCAGTGGCTCGTCCCCAGCATGCTGGACGCAAAGCCAGACGCCACCGTCCCCTCCTTCTTCTCCCAATTTGGCATCAGGAAGCAGTACACGTTTGCACTCACCCCGATAACCTTCTGGGGACGTCTCATCACTCATCTTGTCATCAACCTCGAGAACTACCCCCGAGAGGCAGCCCTCGAAACGGGATCGGGGCAGCCGCCGGTCTTAGACTGGTCGTACTGGGCCACTGGCATGATTTGCTCACAGAACGGCACGGACCTCCTGTTTTGCATCGAAGCTATCAAAGCCAGTACGGAGCCGTTCATGGAGGGATTGGAGATCCGTGCTCCCAACACACCCAAGGGATCGCACATTATGCAGACGCTCACCTTCACCATCGAGAGCCTCTTGCGAAACTGGTACCCCACTCTCTGGAGGACCGTGGAGATCTGGATCCCCTGCAGCTACTGCATCCACCACAGGACCCCCGAGATACCGTCCGTGTCGTTCAATGATGCTCTCCAGGCCGTGTCAAAGGGTGTCGGGGTCAAATGCACCAACCACCCGGAGAAAGTCGTCTCCATTGCGAAACTGATCCCGGATCTCTTTCAGCACAAGGTGAGCAAAGATTTCTTCATCCCGCCGGGGAAAGTGGTGTTCAACCCTAGTGACAAGTCCACGTGCCTCAGCCCTCTTAACTCCGAGACGGTCTTCAAGGGAAAGTTTAACGGGTCTCTTGTCGCTGTCAAAGTGTACCCTCACCCGGTCCCCAATAAAGCCAATACAAATACCGACGCCTCGTCGTCCAAAACGTTGGCGCTAATGGAGATGTGGCAGGAATACCAGGCCATTCAGACGGTACAATCCAGCGGGTGTCCCTTCCTCGTGAACCTACTGGGGGTATGCGAGAGTCCTCTCTGCTTGGTCTTCCCCTTTGCACGGTGGAGCTCTTTGGAAGACGTGCTCCAGGACAAGGAGATATACATCCAGCTCTTGGTGCGTGTCCGCATGGTCCACCAGCTGGCCTCGGCACTGCTTGCCATCCACTCCCAGCACATGATCCATCGCCACGTGTGTCTAGCCAACATCCTGGTCAACTCACTGTCTCCCAACGAGGCAGTCAACATCAAGCTGGCCGGTTTCTCCGAAGCCTGCCACACCATGTTCCAGGGAGTCAGCAAGGGGTACCACGGGACTTTCCCTGCACCGGAAATGTCAGAGGAGGTCAGCCAAGACTACGATGAGAGAGTCGACATATTTGCGTTTGCTTTCGTGTCCTACGAAATCATCACGAGGCACAGGATTCACGTCAACTCGCGAGTGTCCCTTTTGAAGGTTCTGTTTCATCCGGTGAGGCCAAGCCTGGCTCCAATCATGACCCGCCTCCCGTACTTTGCCGGGGTAATCAGCCGGTGTTGGAACGCGGACCTGACGGTGCGACCATTTGCCAGCGACGTCGCCCAGTTCTTTAAAGATCCGGTCGGCGTGCTGACAAGGGCTTGCCGCTGCATCAGCAAGAAACACAGTTTTTTCACCGGTGCTGCAAACTTTGTGCGGACGACGCACGGAATCAACTCGGACGTCTTTCTCTGCAGCGGTGCACTGGAGGGAGGCGAAGAGGCAACTCTTTTCCACTTCTCCATACCCGGCTTGACGCTCCACCGAACTGCAAGGGTTCCATCTGTCCTCATTATCTGCATGTGCTGCATCGGGAACCAGCTGTGGGTGAGCATCTATGGGAAGAAAGTACTCGTCTATTCAACTGCCGACCTCAAGTACAAGAGCGAGTTTGTCTTCAAGCAGCACGTGGTTGCAATGGCTGTTAGCCCCACGCAGGTGTACCTGGGCCTTGACAACGGCGTGTTACAGGTCTACAATGTTTCCAGTGACGTCGTCCCGGCAGAGCCCTTCCTGACAAAGATTGTTTCCCAGGGACAAGATTTCAAGGTCATCGAAGCTCTAGAGGACTGCGTGGTGTGTGCCACAAAGGACACAATCTACAAACTCCATCCCGACCTCCTTTACACCGAGACAAAGTGGCCCATCGCATCCGACGTCGAGATTCGAAACCTGGCAATGACGCAATTCACCGACGACGACGATACCATATGGATCTCTTTCAGACGACTCGACAGAGTCGAGGTGAGAAAGGCGGACTCGGGCACTTATCAGTTCACCATCGAGTGCTCTAGAGTCCTGGAGATGAAGAGCGAGGACGTTTGGGTGGTCACGATGCGTGTGGTCGTGGACACGGTGTGGATAGGACTCAACACTGGCCACGTACTGATATTCAGTACCATCACAGGTACCTCAAAGTCTGCACCGCAGCAACCCCAGCTGCTAACACACTTCAAGCTGCATGAAGGAGAAGTCCGGCAGTTGTTACTGCTCCATCCTTCGTACATGGGGCCGTCGTCCATTGAAAGGGATGGAGAGCAACTCCTTAGTAGCATGACAGGCGTCCAGACCCCTTACGATGAGCGGGTGTACGTTTTGAGCTGTGGCGAAGGTCTTGTCAAGCAACTGCCGACGCTGAGTCACACCGGTACAATTGTGGGGGAAGACCACCACTCTGCAGCGAAAGGTCCCCCCGAGCCTAACAGAGAGGATCTGTATGCAGTCATGCTGGAGGGTATGTGCGAGAGCAGAGTCAGTGACATGGAGAGCAAGTGCGAGCGGCCGTTTTTTGCATACATGCGACCGCAAGAGTCTTCCTACTACACGGTACCTGCCAGAGAGTATGCCGATGTTTATACGAATCCAGCGTTCCGTACAAATACCTGGTCGGCAGCTTCCGTCCTCTCTCCCATTGAGAGCAAAATGAAGAAACTGCACTCTCGCGACGAAGACTCAGAGATATACGAGAGCATTAGACACTGGAGCATTTCAAAGGTGAGACAACCGAAACCCGTAGGAAGCCCAGAACCACCACCTCAAGAGTTGACTGACTCTCCGCCCAAGTTGCCGCCTCGCAATCCAGTTTCTCGTCCCCTCACTTCTTCTCCGATTCTGTCTGCCAAACGTCTGCCGGTGATAATAGAGCGAGAGAGAGAGAATAGCGTTGGAGCCTCTCACAGTAGCACTGAGCTGAGTGGGAGCTCCACCCTGCCTCCTGGGGCCAAGAACTCGCTCTCAGTTCAAGGTGACATTCCCTCGAGGGACAAGTTACGATCGGCTACGATCCCCAACAGAGCTGGGCTGGTGAATTCCCCTTCTCCCAGTGACAAAATGGACGATTCGTGTGAAGACAGTATGTACGATCCCTACGTGTCGATGGTGAGCGTGATGCAGGCGAGAGCCCATTCAGTCGCTCTGCCGGCAAGAGCAACTAGTTCACCTAAATCTCTGCGACCATCGTCTAAGCAAAATCCTCCACCGGTGCCCCCAAAACCTAAACCAAAGTTAGTTGCAGTATGTATAATACGTAATATTATACACATCAAGGGGGAAAACCTCAAGTTACCTAAATTGCATTCCAAGGTGCTATGGGTCGCCTATGTAATGTTTGTGGTTATGTGCCTCCATGTGTGTTGGTTTTGCTGACTGAAGGTTTGGGACTGTATCAGTTTGGCTGTTGTGTCCCCATGGCAATTTCTTCTGCTTATAAATCATATTCGTATAAGTTCATGTTCTCAATCAAAGAAAATAAAAAGCTCACCAGGCAGGATTCGAACTCTTGCGTACAATGCATTACACGTAACTGACACCAACACTTGGTATCAAGAGAGTTTTAACTAATAAACTTCCAGCATGAATTTCTCCTATTTTTCCCCAGCAAAAGCTTGCCCCCAAGGCCACCTCCCAGGGATTCTAAAGACCTGCATTCATGAGGGTTTTTACATGGGCAATCTCTCTACCATCTACATACATACACACATACATACATACCCATATGTAAACATCTCTGGCTTTGTATCTCAACATTTTTCCACCTGTCTGCGCCTGTTCTCAGCTGTATTTTTTAAACAAATTATACAGGGCTTATCTGTAATGTAAACAGTTTGTTTACCTATTCTATAGCGTAGCGCTGCATTTTTCACTTTGATAAGTGGATACCTAAAAGGTGTTTTATTTGAACAGAGTATATACCATACATAGAAATACATACCTATTTCGTTGTTGCACAAGGTATAAGTAAAACCTAAAACCTGTTGTGTTCCATGTTCTGGAATGTCAGCTACATATGTGAACAAATTGTCAAACCAACCCCCATAGAGTGTGCACAACAAAATTGCGTGTGTATATTGTATGTGGATGTCCAAAAAATCCGGGAAAAAAACATTTTTATGTTCGTTTGTATACATAGTTGCAATTAAACCACGATCAACAATGTATATATACCCCTGGCCTTTGTCAGCACTGCATGTACACACACGCATCAAGCAATGTTCAGTTTTACTAATCTGAGTGCAATTGTAGACATGGGTGCAATTTTTAATCTGCAACTTATACTTCAGAAAATACAGTAGCTATATAACAGTTACACATTTGGTGTTGTATGAATAGACAGATGTAAACTGTCAACCAAGAGAGCTTAAACATACAGCATAAGTATGCTTGGCTATATAAAGCAATTGACTTTGGGGGCTACAACTGGTTACCATGGCGCCCTATCGTTGGGAACATTTCCCTTGTCAAAACAAGACGGCTGGTTCTTGCCAATCGTCAGATCTGGGGACATAACATAAAACACAGCTGTGTATCTTTAACTGAAACATCCAATAAATTAGGTGCACCTGATTTATTGGTGGACATCAGATGCTCATGTACATCTAGAAACCAGCCAATAAATCAGGTGTTTCTAGACGTATGAGCATCCGACGTCCATAAAGAGGTAGGACCATTTTTCATATTATGAAGCATAGAGGATATTGTAGAAGAGGGTGTGCTCTTAAAGGGATTTTTGACTTCAGTAGGTGACAGTATTGATGAGAGAAAACAATTGCAGAGTCGCACAACACGTTTTTATAACTGTAACCTGAAATCCAGTGCAGTTAACCTTAGTTAACGGGACAAAGTTTAATTATTGATTATTGATGAAAGCTCTAAAAAGTACATTTCAAGCAAGCAGAGCTTGAACAATGACAGTAATACTTCAATCGGCAATTAGCTTGGGGGCTGCAACCTGTACCATGGATTGGGAAACTTCCCTCTTATAAAAAATAAGAATTGGCAAGCGACGCGAACCTACCTATTCTTTTCAATGCAGGAATTTTCTATTTGTATGTGACGGGCACTGCACTACTGTAACGTTGTAGTGATAGAACTGCTCGCGCTCACTCGCAAAGAATGTGTGGCATTTGTTTTAGATTTTACAGCTGGTTCTTGTCAATCATCAGGCCGGGCGTAAAACACAGCTGTGTATCTTCAACATCTGTTGTCCTAAAATAATATGGGGTGATCCCTGTGATTCTGAGAATATTGGATGTGTGAGTGCTCCTCTATGAACAGCTTTGTTTTAACGTTTTGCAAACTAAACATCATAAAGCTGTATGATAAACGGTTTGACCAAGTCCTCTTCCAATAGACTGGTGTGTTCCACAATTCATCTATATTATACATGATTTATGAAAACTGAGGGATGGTACTAGGGGTAGTGGTAGTACGTAGCTATAAACCGAGATACCACTACTTCATGTGCATGTACTGTTGGCTCCACCGTTTGTTGTGCATGGTCTGTGGCTGATTCGACATCCACTCTTCATAACCTACAATGCAACGTTCAACACTTCCTGCTTATTAACCCTCGGCCCGAGTTAGAGTGAGAAACCAGCATTGTTCGCTACCATGTGGCATGGCCTAGCCCATCAATTATTATCGGCACATTGTACATTGCTCCTGGTAGCCTGAGCAATGCCTTGTGGGGATGAATCTCATTAGTTCAAAACCACAAGGGCTGCGCCCCTGGTAGCCTTTAACTCGTGATGCCAGAGAGAGAAGTTGCGGTATGCTCTGCTGATGAGGGCCAACAAGCCCGAAACAGCTGCCCAGAGCTCCCCATCTTTTTCTCTTGGCATCACATGGTATAATATCTTCATGCATAGTTCATAGTGTATATAGAGCATCTTGTGCCAAGGGTTTGGAAATTTTTTACAAGAAAAAAGTTTTTAACAGTAAACCACTATCTATAGTGTATCTACACAAAGTAGTAGCGTCAGTTTTTACAAGAAAAAAGTTTTTAACAGTAAACCACTATCTATAATGTATCTACACAAAGTAGTAGAGTCAGTTTTTCGCGAGAGTCAGTTTCAGAGTTTCCCCACCTCCTCTGTTGTCTAAGTCCACGGCAAAATCAATGTCAATATCGCAAGTGATGAGTGTACAATCACCGAGGCAGTCTATTGCTATAATAATGACGGATGTTAGGCTCCAGGCATCAGTTGAGCACGGGACTATGAAAATGTTCTGGATATCGGTGGGTTGGAGGCAGCATTCTGTGACACCAAAATCTTCTTTCAGGTCGAATTCCAGTTGGTTGGGCAAATATTTATCCTTTGCTTTTTCTTCCAATGTGAAGGTTCTATTTTCATTGTCTATGGTTATCGTCAGATTGTGTGGGCCTTTGGAGTGAGCCTGGTGGTGTGTCGATAGTACAACTATTATGATGATGGTCTTCAGGCATCTGGCTGTGGGGGTTAAAGTGCAGCTTACTATGATTGCTAACTGTAAAAGGGCGTATATAGCTACCATTTTTGTTGATCATTACTTCTACTGGGTAGTGGTCACTGACATCTTCCACCTGAGTAGCCATCGTAATCACACAATATTATATGCAGAGTAAAACCTCTGAATAAGGGACACCACAGGGACATTCAAAGTGTCCTATTTTCAGAGCTGGTGTCCTTATTGAGCAGAGGTATAATGCATTAGTATGGGGCAAAACCAGGTGTATTTTAACCCTTAGCCAGCCACGGCCATATTATATATATGCCCAGAGCCTCCATAAATCCATAAGAATTTTTATATGGGTATAATACTAGGCGTTAGTATGTTATTCATCAATTTCTGCTTATTTAAGGAGATACCCATGGCGTCCAAAGTTAAAGAATGGTGTCCCTTACTGAGGGTCCCTTTCTTGCGATATTTTACTGTAAACTGACTAGTTCTGGAGAGAGAGACAAGTCCTCGTCAAACCTGTACACCCCTGCTGAATTCGGAACAACATGGTGTCTAGTGTCATCTACTGCAATGATTCTAAACGATGAAGAACAACTCTGTGGAATGTGTCAGACTTAATTTAGCCTTGCTTACCTGTCGTATGCGCAGTATGTAGGCGTTGTGGTGGTATCTACTGAGAAGTCTATCAGCCAAGAGGCCGAGGGATATTTTACTACCTTGAGGTCTTCGAAATCACATCCACTCAAATGCCTAATGGGAGAGATTGTCACAGTAATGTTGCTGTGCCATAGCTCTTACGTGCAGTCTGCCTTAAGGTCCCCCAGTATAAAGCCACTGCAGCAGTCAAGAGCTTCAGAAGTGGCTCTGTAAGCTTTTGCAAGTGCACCCAGCTCGCTGCAGGCATCAGATGACTTTACGTACACTCCCAGGAGAAAGAACTTCCATGGCTCTGTAGCTAATAGGAGATCTAGAGTTGAGAGCAATAATATGCTACTCTATGCCCAACACCAGTGCAAACGAACCTGTTTCTGAATTGGTTTGGTTGCAGCAGATGCAGATGCTGAAAGGCTCTCGCTCAAACTCATCATCTGGATCATCAAACTGGTACGTGCCGCATACTTCAACTGTTTCAGTCCTTTTATATGACCAAGTACAAGTTCCATGAGTTTAATATAATTTGCAGTGTTACATACCTGTAAAAGTAGGCATACATTTCCTTATTCCTAGTCTGTCCAAGGTTTCCGCTCACTACAACTTCATACTGATGGGCTTGCCTGTGTCGTGGAGAAGAAAATGCGGGACTAGTATCGTGAAGAAAGTCGGATAGCTTCTGACCCGTTCACTTCCGCTAAAAGTCTTGGTACCACCGTTTCCCCTCCAACATCTCTGATGCCTTGCACAAGAATCACATCGTAGCGCCTTATAATCTGGAACGAAATAGCTGCATAATGTTAGGAGCAAATTTTGCACAATCTCACTTGCGCGAGCACGCCGAGTACGGAAACGTTGCTAGTCTTCTTAGCTCCGAGAATCGCGGCGTTGAAGGCTCCAATGTTTAGACCCTCGGCCACACCGCATACATGATCGCAGCAAATGCTCGAGGCGAGCTGCACGCCAGCGATCAATAGCACTCCCAGAATTATCCGAGGCATCTCAGTAATTGAACTGAACTTGGAAGACTGGCTTTGTTTTATATCGCGCGGTCTTGCCTGCGCCGCGTACTCGAGGTTGAATACGCGTGCGCAAATTGATCAGCGCTTTTTTAAAAACGGGGTGAGCGGTGGCGTAGGAACCACGGGGGCTCCGAGGACTGGCGCCCCCCTATATTTTCTCGAGCTTTCGCAAGTGAGCGCGATCGCGCGCAGCGTATGATTTATACGCATGCGCATTGGAGCCCCCCTTGGTCTGAACATCTTCCTACGCTACTGGTCCGAGTGCTATTATACTACCTATACTACTTTCAACAATATTATTCTGGTGAAAGTTAGCATGAGTTTCTTGTTGATATCCTCTCCGGTAGACCGTTTGTCTGCTATTCATTCCACTGCGGTCATTCCCCCTTCATTAGCCACTAATTTGTGTTAGTGGTTGACTCAGTCCACATCCACATCGCCAAGTCAGTTACTGGTGTTTAGTTTGGGCAGAAATAAGAGATGCACAACTGAAGAGAGAGACACAATCTTCACTCGAAATGTCATAATTTCCATCCTCCAAAACTGATTGAAGAATTTCACAATCATGAGAATCCGTATCTATAACATTAAAATACCTGAACATTGATAACAGTTCCTACACACAGTAAACTATTAATACCATTGTTCATGTGAGTAATGCGAGTCGATTTATTAGTGACATCAAAGACACTATATACCGCCAGTGATGAGGATTTTTATCACACCGTGGAGTGCAGCACGGTCCTCATCTGCAATCTCATAGTTTCCGTCATCGAGTATGGATTGAAGAATGGCAGAATCTGAGGATTAATACATGTGTTTCAATGGCTCTTATGTGTAGTACTTTAAGGCCATACCACTTTCATTAGTCACAGATAGGATTTGAGATTCATCACAGCTTGTGTTTTCTTCAGAGCTGAACTGACACCTACCATGTTATGTGCACCAATGTATAACTGTGCAGCAATGAGACTTACAGATCAGTGACTGGAGTGGGTGAAGTCAAAGTTGAAATCACTGTCTCGAGTGTAGCCACATCATCTGCCGACATCTCATAATTTCCATCGTTCAGAATCGACTGGAGAATCTCACAATCATGTGCATCCATACCTTCGTTTGATGTATGATTGATAAACATGTCAAAAGAGCAACGTGTGTTACAGTAGTCCTTACCATCATCATCGGTACTGGAGGGAGTGTGAAATCCATCCTGACTAATGTCCATCTGGAGTGCAGCATACACTTCAACTGACAAATCATAGTTTCCGTCTCGGAGCATACAGCGGATGATGTCATGGTCACGACAAACATCTGTTTGGCAGTTTACACAATGCATTATGTAAACTACGTACGAAGTTTAGAACACACCATTGTCGACGATTGTGGGTGAGGTTTGGGAGTCATTATCATGACTCAGAGCAGCAGTGACTGGGGCACTATCCTTGTCCACCACCTCATTATAGTCACCATCACTCAGAATGCGTTGGTGGATGTCGGAATCACAAGCATTCTTGTCTCTGTAACCGATATCATAGACATGTCACACACGAGAGAACCATGCATGCGGACTGTAGTATTATGACCATATGTCGGTCCTTACTTCAGTTCAGCTCATGAAAGTACATGTTTTTGTATTTCATTGTCTTTCCATTGTCTAGTCTAACCCCTAGCCCTGCCCCTTCTCGTATTCCATTGTCTATGATTTACATGAAGTAAGAACCCATACGTATCTGATTCGTCGTCAGTCTGTGAGTCATTGATGATCACACGTTTGGCTCTCTGAGGCTCTGGCAGTACACTCTCTCCACACACAAACCGTGTGAGGAGAAAAGATCTAACGAGAAACGATTGTTAGAAACAGAGTTGGCTAAATCTATAGGTGTGGGACGTACGGGAAAGTGTCATCAAACTCTTGCTGGTCAATTGATGTGTCTTCCGAGGTCAACACTTTGCTCTCGTTAGAGTGATTAATTAGATGATCTTCAGCCATGTCATTGTCAGTAACATCTCTGAGACCCACGATATCCCTGTGAGGAATAAGACTGTATACACATACTGCCCTAACAATGCCTCTTATCACCTTTGGGAAAGTGAGGAGACAGAAGATGAAGGGTGAGTGGAACATGAGCTGTACATTCCAGCACTCTGGCTGTGTAAGAGCGAAATGCAATATTTCCCTAGCTATTAGCTACGTACTGTATATACCTTGAGTCCTGACATGAGGTATCATCTGTGGGAGCCTCACTATAGGAAACGAGCGAAGTAGCCATGGTTATATTCCTGAGGATTAACTCACCTGTCGGTAACCTGCTCTCCTCTAGTACAGCAAATCAGTTTTGCAAGGCGACCTCCACGGCGTCTACGTTTTTTGCACCTGTTGGAAGGAAACGGAACCTAAAATGTTACCTATGGATGTGTGGTCCTATGGTTAGGGACCTATTCATGAGGACTTCAACTAGCGACTAGTCACTACAGCAGACGGTTTTGTAGAGTGCGCGTCGTAACGACGCGTGACGCTACGCGCGCGGGCCGGTATCTATAATCACAGAGCCAGCCACTGAAAATGGCGGTGTCTATTCAAAGTCATCCGGAGTTGGAGCCGTTTATGCTCTCCAATGTACAACTCACTGGCACTACAATTGGTGCAGGAGCCTACGGCAGCGTGGAGGAGGTGGCCGTGCCCGGAGCCATCTGCGCCGCCAAAACGATCCACGACTTCTTCCTAAAAACGCCTCCCAAGTTCCGCCAGCCGCCATCCGCAAGGCTGAGACGCAGTTCGTGAGAGAATGTCAGCTTATGAGTACCCTCCGCCACCCGAACATAGTCCAGTTTCTTGGTGTGTATCCCATGCCCGGCTCGCGACTGCCAGCCCTCGTCATGGAGCGACTGCTGACGAGCCTTCACGACTTGCTGGACCCAGAAACGGCGGACCCTACTCCCCCGCCTGAAACGCCGAAGGCCTTCTTCCCTTTGAAACTGAAGTGCTCGATATTGCACGACGTTGCGTGTGGCCTAGCCTATCTTCACGAGCGATTGCCTCCCATCATTCACCGCGACTTGTCGGCCAGAAACGTTCTCCTGAACTCGGGGATGGTGGCCAAGATAGCAGACCTGGGCGTGGCTCGTATCGTGCCTCGTATGAGAGCTGCAGCCACCATGACAAAGGCACCTGGTGCTGGCGTTTATATGCCCCCAGAGGCTCTAGAAGACAGGGATCAAGGTGAAGAAGAAGAAGTTTCGAAAGCAAAATACAGCTCAAGCATTGACATCTTCTCATTTGGTGTTGTTGCCATTTTTACACTCTGCGAAACCTTCCCCAGCAAATTGCTAGCTCCTAATTATCGTGAGCATGGTCGTTTGGTTGGTCGGACTGAGTTGGAGCGACGAGAGAGGTACATGAGGATGATCTGCAGGCAGCTACGCGAGAAGCATCCTCTCCTCCAGATGATCGAGGGGTGTCTGAACTTCCCTGAAAACCGGCCAAGCATTCGTGAGGTGCTGCATCTGTTGGAGGAGGCCAGAGCTGAAGTGAGAGATGAGCCGACAGACATGAACAAGCTGGAGCTGTTGCGGGCTCTGCAGAGCCAAAAGCAGCGTATCTACCAGATGAGACAGAGAGTTAGTAATACTTGTTTATTAGGTGCATGAATGACACATTATGGTGTTTGCAGGAGACTGAGTTAAGCCAGCAGCTACATTCTAGTGAGACGGAAAAACAAACCATCAGAAAACAGCTAACTAGCTCTCAAAGATGGATTCAGGAATTAAGGGAACAGGTTAGTTGTTGGACCTAGCGGGCAATGAGAACCATACATGAGAATATTAGCACAGGCTAATAACCTCCACCAGATCTGCTTGAATTATGAGCTATAATTGAGTGTGAGTATAATATATGGAGTTCCACATGTTATCTACTAGTGTAGCTAACCAGTGTCAGACTCTGAGCAAGCTACGAGAGACCAACAGCCAAGTCTCGTTCCCAGAGGGTTTGCACAAGCGTGTACCTAGATGTCTTCCTTTCTGTAGGAAGCTGGTTTGGTTGAGGCCACGAACAGGGCTCAGCAGCAACTGAGACAGAAGGTGAATAGTGGCACAATGTATCATGTTTTGGGAGTAGAGGTTCTCCTGACTGCAGGAGGAACATCTGCAATCAAGTGAGGCTCTAGTGGCTGACTTCCAGAAGGCCCTCCAGCAGAGAGACTCAGAGGTTGAGGCACTAAAGAAACAGGTCAGTTGCAACGTATTAACAGTCTATGAATATTGCTATTGTATTCCACCTCCTTTTTACAGATCAATTCTAGTCGGGGAGTAGCAACCACCGAGTATGAGATACCCAAGTCCTTATTTTCAACCCAGCCTTATTACCATCAAGATGTGCATTCCTCCAGAAAGGTAATAAGTTAACCACACATGCGTTAGTCTACACATAGGTATTATTTATGGTTGAACCATGCAGAAAGGAAAACGACAGGAGAGAGCTTTATGAACTGTTATTCCTTACTTTACAGTTCCAATGTCGCCTTCTGCAGACAGCTCCACGTGGAATGACCAGAGGATCTGCAACAAGCGATGGGCAATTTGCGTATTTTACCCCATCTGGTACCAATTTAGTCTACAGATACAAGTTGCGTGCAGAAATATGGGAAAGACTGCCTTCATGTCCACAGCGAGACTCCGGGCTAGCCATTGTTAATGGGGAATTGCTAGCCGTGGGAGGAAAGTACGTTTCGTATTATGCTAACAAAATATTCACCCTACGACAAATGAAATGGGTTGAGGAATACCCTCCAATGATAACTGCACGCTCCTGTCCTGCTGTAGTCAGTATCTCAGATTGCATCGTAGCAATTGGAGGGTATGCCGGCATTTGGATTTCTTCAGTTGAACTCTTAAACCTTCGTGGAGAACTTTGGGAGTGGTTGGAAATGGGGGACTTGCGACCCCTCCGCAACCCCTCTGCCTTGATATGTGGTGAAGAGCTGTACATAATTGAAAGTGATTCATATTTGCAAGGCTATTCTTTTTCCCTGAAAAATCTACCTTACATTTCTTCATCGGTTTATGGACATCTTCAGTATGATATTTCATACTCCTTGCGGCCTCTTCCTCATTTCTCTTTAAAAGCAAATTCAGTAACAGCTGCTTCTCTTCGGGGGAAGCTGGTTCTGATTGGAGGTGAACGATTGGGGTCACCTGTCAGCACCATTCACCAACTTCAGGGAGGGCAGTGGGTTGAGATTGGGAACATGCGCAATGCCAGAAAAAATTGTTTGGCTATCAACATTTCTGAGGAAAAGATACTAATAGTGGGAGGAGTTGGTCGACGTGGGGTAGAAAACTCAGTTGAAGAATGTTCTTCCTCATAATTATTTAAACAGGAACATGTTATTGTTATAGCCTATAGCTAACTTTGGTATGTAATTTTTGTACATGTCTGATGTTCTCGTAGAGTATATACTTTGTAGTAGATCGCTCTTGGCGCACTGTCTGCATGTACTTTGTTACAAAGTCCTCTAACATCATCTATGTTAGCTATATCAGTGAGAGGGCTACTGGGGGTTATTTTACCGTCGGCGCGCATGCGCAGCGAGAGTTACAGTGCGTGTGTACGTACGTACGTGCAGATGTTACGTCTATTTATACTGAAAACTTCCCATGCTGTTAGTTAGTGTGTGTGTCAGTTTGTCACCAGCTATTCTGGCACTACAGGCTATGAGGCGGCCCATGAGCGATACCAATGGCTTCAGAACTATATACGAGAGCCTGAAAATTTAAACGAGAAACTGGCTCCGTTACCGCGTAGCGTGGCCCGTCTTCCATCAATTATTGAAGCGCATGCGTATACATCAACGTGCGTGCTCGTTCGTGCTCGCGTTGTTTTCCCAAACATAAATGTCATGGGGATGCTATCTTAGCATGTGTGTGGATGGACACGGCAAGTGATGCGTTCACGAGACATGCACATTGATAACGGCACAGCACAATGGCGCCTTACACTAGAATGTGTTACAAGGACAACAACTTTTTGCAAGAGTCAGATGAAGAGTTGCGTCATTTCCGCTGTTATCTTCATCCACGGCAAAATCAATGTCAATGTCTTGAGAGAGCAGTGTAACTTCACCAAAGGTGTCTCTTGCAAGTGTTACAATCGATGTTAGACTCCACGCATCAGTTGAGGCTGGAATTATGGAAATGCTCTGAATGTCACAGGGTTTTAGACAGTCAGTGAATCCAAAATGCTCCCGAATACAAAATTCCAACTTGTTTGGCAATTTTGTTTTGTGTTCAAACGTGTGTGTTCTGCATTCATTGTCTATGGTTATCTTCAGAGTGTGTGGGCCTCTGGAGTGAGCCTGGTGGTGTGTCGATAGGACAACTATTATGATGATGGTCTTCATGCATCTGGCTGTATGATAGAGAGCAGTATAATTATAAACCAAGCCACCTCAAAACCATGATGTTATTAAACTAGTACCTTTGTTATTGGTCTCTACTTCAACTGGGTAGTGATCGCTAACATCTTCCACCTGCAAGAGGCCAGCATGCCAAAAAGAACAACAGAAGGAGCAAGAAACTTACTAGGTCTTGGGAGAGGGAAAGGTTTCTGTCGAATCTGTATACCTGCGCTGAGCATGGAACGACATGGTCCCTTGTGTCTCCCAGTGCAATGATCCTGACATTATTTTTATAAACTGCAGATGGTGGTCAATTCGAGTAGATAGCGATAATATACCGGTCATAGGCACAGTAGCTGGGAGTTGTGGTGGTGTCCTCTGAGAAATCTATTAACCACGACGCAAAGGGACGCTGTACTATTTCAAGATCTTGGAAGGAGCATCCACTCAAATACCTGCATAAGAGTAAGAGCTTATACAGTGGCATTTTGAGCGTGGCATTTTTAGCATGTCTTTTTCTATATACCTGCAATCTGCATTCAGATCTCCAAGTACAAATCCGCTGCTGCCACCAAAAGCTTGAGTAGTGTTTCGGTAAGCATTTCCTAGTGCATCAAGTTCACTGCAAACATCATCTGGCCTCACATGCACTCCCATGAGAAAAAACTTCCATGGCTCTGTGGGGGTATATTTAATAGTAGAGAGAAATGGCTATCACTAACATAAATACTAAAGTGCAACCCTCGGCGAACTGCGCAAGCGCGATACTACTAATTGATGGGCTGGGCTATTTGTATGCGCATACTCATGGTCTCCCGCTAGTAACTCGCGGAGAATCTGACACGGGTTAGCTAGTGGTAGATAGCATGCGGGAGTCGATACATGCCATTCTTCGTGACTTCCTGAGCCCCCAAGGTACATAGAGCGAGCGGATCAGGTCGCGGTAAGCCCAGTGCGATTATGCATATTGTCTCTCGAACCCTTTTATTTTTCAGGCTCGCGTAGTTCTGAAGCCGCTGGTATCGCTAATGGGCCGCCTCGTAGCCTGTAGTGCCAGAATAAGCGTCGACACACACACACACAGACAGACAGACAAACCTGCGCATGCGCGCCGAGGGTGAATAGCAAACCTGTTTCTGTGTCCTTGCTTGAAATGAGGATACTGAAAGGCTCTCGCTCAAATTGGTCATTTGGATCATCAAACTGGTATGTGTCCCATACATCAACTGTTTCATTCCTACAAATCACCTTATAACCAGTAAAACACTTCAAGGGGCTGTATCTGCTCTACCTGTAAAAGTAGGCGTATCTTTCCTTTTGTGCGCTCCGTCCAACATTTCCACTCACTTCACACTGGTAAGCATGTTCCTGCGAACCACTGCATATCGTTAGTAAGAGCACATAATCTATAGCCAAAATACGCCGAGCGCTCGCGCGCGATCGGGTTCTGCTGCGCATGCCTACGCGCGCGGGGTATATACCTGTTCACTGCGGCTAACAGTGTCGGAACTACAGTTTCGCCAACACTATCTCTTATTTCCTGCACCAATATCACATCGTAGCGCCCTACAATCTGGAAATAAAAATCAACCATGATGCATGTGAGCGAAGGTCTTGTATAACTTATAGCTAGCTGCAGTTGTTACGTACTTCCACGAGAACGTCAACGACTTCGGTTTTTGCGATCTTGGTTTGCCCTAGAATCTGAACGTTGAAGGCGCCGATTTTTAGACCACCGCAGAGGTCCGAGGCTAGTAGCACACCAGTGACTGTTAGGATCAGTTTTAGGGCGTGATTCAGCGACATCTCTGCAGTGCCAGTCTCAAGTGTCAGTGGTCTAGCCTCGGGTGAGCTTCAAATAGCCTTCCATCCTTCCGCTAATAATGAGCCATCTTTCTTGGAACGGCGCTGGACAATCTATACCAGGGGTACGTAGTCAGGGCCAGGTTACATGGGCCTTTCCAACGTTACCGGAAATTGTGGTAGGAGAGATGGGTAATAGCTACGTTACGAAATTAATTAGCCAATAATTGTTTGTGGCCACACTATAATAGCTGACTCCTTTGGGCCCTGTCGTGGATCCAGTCACATGTGCAGCCTTCATTTCAGGCAAGCAGCATGTTGTCTAGCCACTACACTTGACATAGTAGCTATAACATAGCTAAGGCAAGCCCAGATACGCCTGAATGAATTGCAAAGGGAAGGACTCTCTAGCTGTAGACATGTTACATCAGAACACACTTTATTGTTGTTGTGT